GGCTGTGCAAGTCCTTTTGCAATTCTAATAACTGCTGGAAATCAAAAAAAGCTGCCTAAAAATCGATGGATCATTTCTCGTGAGATTCTGGCCATTCGTTCTGGAATGGTGGATCTGCAAACCATTTTCAAATACACTGCCATCTTTATTACTCACCTAAAGAATAATAAGAGTAATTCAACAGCAAATTATTGAAAAGTGAACGAATGCGGTGAATGCGGTTGAAAATATAGCGAAGGCTAGTCGAAGCAGTCAGGCAAAAGGGGACATATGGGTGCAAAAAGATGACAGAGAATTGCAAGCATAACCCTGAGGGCAAACGCAAACGGCGTCAGAAATCGCCGCAAATTGCCGCAAACGTGACATGCACTTTAGAATGTATGTAACAAAAGCCTTTGACCCAACGTGGCGCAGTTGGCCGATAGTGAGAACTCCCAAGTCGTTCTGAGTCAATTTTGCATAATTCTCCAAAATTACATGGTGATGAATTATTTTAGAAAAACTGACTTTAATGCACTAATAGAGAAAATGAGAGGAGCGCAATAACAGCACTTTTTTTTGCGCCACTTCAAAAACCATTCAGGGCGTGATCGGCTGCTGTAAACATAGGATATCGTATGATCCTATTCCACGAACGTAGGAAATTAACCTGCGCTGATCAGCCTATTCGGATTGCGCGTCGGGATTTTAGGTTTCAAAACTGAAATCGACCTCCAAATTTGGTATTATTGGGGGCACGTGCGCGGATTGGAGCGAAGTGGGAGGGGAAGGGGAGGGCATAAACCGTCACGTATTTTCAGGTGTATCGGAGAGAGTCATCGCCCTACTCAATTCGCTGAGTCTGCGTAATAACGGACCTACTTACTTATGGATGGGCGTGTAGAGTTGTCCGTGCGAAAATCAGCTGAGGCTTGAGCTACAAGGAATTAGGAGGTAGATAACGTCAGAGTAGTTTACAAGAGGGGCGAATCCTCCAGGGGGAAAGCCGCTGCTTTTAGAAAAACGTTTCTTCCACATTGTAGGCACACATGTTTATGGACCACAAAACCATGTTTTGTTTCGTTGAAAACGTCTTTAGTAGTATCAAAAAAGTGTGTGAATGATCCCTTGATAGTTCTATCCCCTGCAGGCGACAACAACAGCAAATCAATGTCTGCAATCAAGGTTATCGGCTACTTGTAGACTTTCAAAAATGGTCCCCAAGATGATATATGGACATCTATTTTGACATTTAGCGCGACTGGTGGCCACAAGCAGTATAGGTGCTAACCAAAATGCAAACTATGGTCACCGACATTAACATATCCTAGGGCTTCTTTTTGGTACTGCTAAAACCGATTCAGCGAAAAGAAACATGGTGTGTTCCTATATGCGTCCCTACTATATGCAAGAAACCTTTTGAAAGAAGCGTGGTTTGTCCTTAAAGCGAGGGATTTACATAAGTTACTGGGTTCTAGGGAGGAGACATGCTGAATGATGCCTCAGCTGCAAAAAAAGCAACAAATCCTTCAAGAAGGCGGCAAAATGGGACCCTTTTCTTGCCGTTGACCTCCAAAATGAACAGGAGCTAGCAAGCAATTAGAGCGTCGTTTGAACATGATATGGCATGGATAGCTCTATCATTTCAGCAAGCATCATAGTTTGAATTGATCTCGCATCCCGAAAATGTGTATAGGATTACATCTGAAGTGGAAATCTCTTTATTGGCAATCGGGAAGGGGCGCTGACCTGCTTGGGGGCAGAGCACAGACAGGTGGCGGGGCTCAGAATAGGAATGGCAAGCCTTGTACGCTGACTAGCGCACCTTTGACCACAAAAGGCAATATTTCGTTGCTCGGGCCCTGATTTCTGCTTCAAATGGTGATGTAACTTCCACGCTGCATACGCCCTTTTTCGCCCTTGTCAGCCTGCCCATTAGAACGCTTTTCATCGTGATCCAAACAGACGGCTAATTCGAGAAGAAAAAAACCAAATCTCTGAACTCCAACAAAGTACGTATCATGACGTGTGCATTGCTCATCGAGAAAACACATGTGATGTAGCTGGTATGCTCTGTCGACACCGCAGTCCGTGAATACAATAGCTGTAATATAAGCAAAATTCTTTATTCTAGTTCGTATTAAAATGAGCATGCAAAAATCTTCGCAAATAAGGTGCAGTGTAGAATAATAGCCGACATTTTCGGAACGTAGCTTCAAGAATATAATGTGGGATGCTAAGCAAGCAAAAAAAAAACGTACAAGAAGTGTCTAGTAGATTACAAGGATTGAGACTATTGAGATCTACTGTAAAATAGCAAGAAGATGCTGATGGAATGAAGGTAGCGATGAAAAAAGATCATGTTTTTAAAAAGGCACAGTCCCCGCTGCAATTAGTTGCATCTAAACTGCATACGCATTAGATAGTGATGATGTTATTGGTATTAAGGCTATAGAAACCCCCAAAAGCTGCCAGACATAAGGTAAAACCTGTTAAGCTTTCGTATTGTGTGGGCACGCATTCATAGGTCTAAGAACATCAAACGACTGATTTACTCGGAATCGAACCTATAGAACAAGAAGCAATGGGTCATAACATGGGAAAACAGAGAAGTTGCTACTCCTGCTTTTAGGGAAAACTTTTCACTCGAAATCTCCCAGTAATAATTATCTAGTGTAGGATGCCAATAGCGCAAGATCTCGCAGCACTGACATTGATGAGCAGCAGCTTCACAGGAAGAGCTGTTGCAAAAAGTGCTAAGTATATGATTTGCTATTATTTGAAATTCTGCGCTCTTCTCATTTTTGACTTTTGGCAATTGCCGCCTTAACACTAGACAGCACCCCGGTTTCCGCGCACATGAACAGTTTACACTTCGGAGCCCATGCATCCCATGACTTGGCTGCAATCCGTCGACCGCGAAGGTTTTTCAGCACATTCCACATTTCGGGAAAAAATAGTAAGTTTTTCTTTTGTTTTCTTTTCCACTTTATTGTATGAGGTTTTTTCTGCATCATACATTAGATTTTTCTTCACAACTTGCTTGATGAGATTCCCAAACATTTCACTGCAGTCTCACGCGGCCGCAACACCTAAAACACGCGCGGTCTCCAACAGGAGCGGTGAACAAGCGCGTACTGTGCTTACAAGGTTATCATGCATACATGCATATTATAGAATGTGCTGACAATTTTGCAGACTGCAAAGGCACACAAAATGGTTGAGCCCTGGCGCGCTTGTATTGTACATATCGCAGTAGGACCGAGCGAAGAGAGAGAGAGATTTCCAGCATTAATAATTAAAGCTACTCCAAGAGATGAAGGAAAAGAAGAACGGAGGTAAATGACATTATACTCGGAATTGCGCGCACTCGCGAAAGCGTTGAGGACCGCTCACCTTAATTTTCACAATTACAATAAAATCCTGAAAATCGTTTGGTTTTCAATTTCACCTGCTCGATGCGATTCTTACAACATATCCGTTAGTAGAAATTGAAGATGCGATGAGAAGGATCCTCAAGCCTTTTCAGTTTCTATAAGGAACTCAACATGAATGTAGACCATATAAAGTGCACCTTCGCAGTTTGCCGAATGAGGTTATAAGCAGAGTGTACAGTAGATTCCATCAGCTATGCCAGTTATGTTCAGCTGCGAGCAGCGCTAAATTAGTTCAGAAAGTGGAAGCTTCAGAGTCGCTATGGTTGCTTGGACAGACTAGAAGTGAAACAACTATTCTCGTCAGTAAATAAGGTCTCCCAAAACAATAATTTTTAAGCTCCTATCTCAGATTACTGTACTCAACTGACATAGAGTGGAATCTACCGAAAGTGAGGTTTGTCATGTTTTCCTTCAAATGTTTGCAGGAATATGTCAGTGAAGCAAGACTATGCAAAAGTCGTGGACATCTTGAACCTTGTGCGGACAAGATAACGCATCCAGATCTGATCAACGTCGTAAACAATGTACCTGAAACGCGTGAATTTGTGAAAATACAAGTCTTTGAGAACGAGAAAGGCTTACTCATTGTAGAGCAAAGTGCGATTCTTCGAACTGTCCGTCTTGACAGGCTTCGCAGTGTTTATTGAGTACCCTCCTCACACACAACTAACTGAGTCCATCGCCCATTTGCTAACCTGAACGACAGTCAGTTGCTATTTATATAAAGTAACAAAGCGCGAAAAACGGGAGTTCGCCGCCAACCCTGCACACTGTTTGATAGCTTTTGTATTGTCTTCAGTGACTGCGTCAACAGCTGATTCTCTGTTTCACTCTGCGCATGAAAATCGATAACATAAACCTCGTATATAGACACATGATTTTGCATTAACCAGTGCTGATATTAGCAACACGCCATGAGTGTGTCAAGCATTTATGAATTTGTAAAAGTTCCCTTGTCACAGATGCTGTGATCGTGGAGCTCACTGTAGTGATAATGCCCTAAATTGGTCTTTATATGAGATAGTGCGCTGGCGCTATAGCCCCATGACACGTATCGGATAATTCATACACCGATTTCGCGGAGTGCCATGGGCAATGTGGTTCAGTAATTTTGTCCGCCACACCTTTAACTTCGAATGGGAAGCAGAGAGGAGCTACTTGTAATGGCTTCATTGGCGGTGCTACTTGCTCCTCATTTTTCATTTAAAGTCAGATGCTATGTCCACATTTTCATATCGATCTAGCAGGTTAATATCGGACGAGGATCATCTCGCACTCGAGGGATTTTGCCTGATTGTCAAGTTCTCCGCGCAGACATTCACACTCGCTAGGCCGAGTGTATGTGCTTCTCCGCGCGTACTATCATCTCGCCTATTTCGCCAGTGCAGGCATGGTCGAGCGAATTCCTGCGACCGTTTAATTTACTCCCTGGCTGGCGTGCCCTACCAATTTGATCTGGATTGTTGCTTTAAGCTTTGTTCTGACAAACCTAACCTATCATTCGCCAAACCTGGAACGACAGTCACTTGCATATTATGATAACAGCTAACAAAGTGCGGAAAAAACGCGGAGCTCGCCGCACCCTGCACACTGTGTGTAGCCTTTGATTGCCAGTGAATGGTCAACAGCATTGATCTCTTGTTTCACCTTGCCCAGTGCAACATCGCATAACAGCATAAGGACATCCGTATTATCAGAGAACACCTGGAAGATATTGCATTACACAGTGGGATGAAATCCATCAAAGCCAACAACCCAGATGAGCGTCGTGTCGAACAGTTTATGATGTGAGTAGAGTTCCCTGGTACCACAGATGCCGTTGTCGCTGGAGCCTCACGAAGTGAGCTAATGGCGGCTAATGTGGGCTTTATTGGACGAGATGTGCTGCGCATACCCCATGACACGTAGCGGCTAATTCAAATACACGCGGATTCGCGGAGCCATGGAAGCAAGTGGGTTCAGAAAGTTTGTCCGGACACACCTCCTTATGTCAAGGGAGAAGAGAGGAGCTCTTGGTAATGGCTTCATGGCGGTGTGTATCTGCTCCTTCTTTCATTTTCAGTCAAGTCGTCATCCACATTTTTCATTATCGACCTGCTACCAGCGTTTAATATCGGCCGAGGATTTCCTCAATGGCACGTCGAGGATTTTCGCCTGATTGGTCAGGTCTCCCGCGCAGACATTCACACTCGCTAGGCGCGAGTCGTCTGTGCTCTCGCGCGTACGTTCACTCTCGGCCCTATTCTCGCCACAGTGCAGAGCCATGGTCGAGGAATTCCTCGACCGTTATTTACCCGGCTGTGCCCTACCAATTTGATCTGGAGTTGTTGCTTTAGGCTTGTTCTGCAAACTTACCCTACAGTAGTTGGCAGACTTAGATGCCATATCAGCGAAGTAGACACCTTTTCCAAACATGTATCCAGTCTGAAAAAGAAACACAAATACTAATAAAATGTGAAGCAGAGGATGAAACTGGAACCCGAAACTGTTTACCACACGAAGAAAAAAAAACTGACTACAGGCGCTTCAGGTGGAGCAATGCGGAGACCTTGTGAGAGAATCCCACCATAATTTGTGGTTCCTGATCCGTGCCACAGAAGTCGGCGGTTACCGATGTCGGCTTTGAATTTTTTCGCCTCGCCTTCGCGATCGACACGAATAACCTGCAAAGGCGACTTTGCCAAATTAGGAATGCGAGAGTTCAACAAATACAAACAATCCTACATCAACGACTTCCAGCTTGAACAAAGTATGTGTTTCACCATGAGTATTTTCCATGTACAGCTTGACCCGCTCAAATTCTGCTGAGCTATGATCGACAACCTGAATGAATGTGAAATAAACAGGCAGTTCAAGTAACTTTTTGAAGTTTCTCGGTCAATTTCCGACTTATTACCTCCATTTTGCACTTCAGCTTCTCGTAGTGAATATCGACTGGATCGCGAGTATCGTCAGAGTCGCCCTGCTCTTGCTTCAGCACCTCATATGCAATTTGAATCTCCAAGAGTGAACCCAACATATCGCACTTTTCCTAGAACGTGCTCAATCCCGCGTTAAATTCTTAGGACATCTCGTGCGAGAAAAGGATGAAGCTGTATATTTGCCTTGATTATTGCTGTCGAGTTCAGCAGCGGAGGTTTTGCCAATCCAAAGCTATGCGGTATGAGCGTGTAGAAACGGTTTGTGGCATCAAGAATCTTGTCATGGTCCACTTTTTCTGCCAGAATCTTAATAGTATTCAATGACATACAATGTGAGATATGAGACACACTAATCACCGCAGCTTGAAATTGCGATGATATAACACGTTTATAAATAGCGCGAGATAGGCTAAAATAGGAACCTTTACCCGGATGAGACTTCTACGCAGCCGTTCCTGTTCATGCACGACAAATGCGTAAGAGAAAGGGAAAATGACTGAAGAAAATAAGGGACGTAGAAGTGCAATTACTCAAAGCTAATGAAATCTCTCCAAAACTGGTGCTCACATCCTTACTAGATGTGAATCAGAAGTATAGTGTGTCCTTATTGTATTCTTCGTTTGATTGTACGTTTGTTTGCCATCAACACATTCGTTTGCTTTCAAGCTCTGCAAAAGACGGAGCATGACACCAATGGGTGGAGAGTTGCTACCGGGCCATGTCGGTGGGACTTGACGAAAAGCCTCTATTATGATGGGTGGAGCTCGAACACGTAGTCAGGGCGTGTACTGGCATCTACACCTTAATTCTACCCTCTAGAATTGTCGGCATTGTGTAGGGGACTAAGAAAAGGAACTGAGCTGCATTGCTGAGTGACTCCAGTTTGGCAGTTGTCAGACTTATCGACAATCGCACCGAAAGCGCCAGGGCGCTCGACCATTGCTAGTACATAGATGCCGCGCTGGTGCCGGATTTTGAGTTTTGCGGAGCTGAGATGGAGCGGATTGAAAAAGGGAACTGAAAATGAAACGAGCGAAACGAAGGCTAGGCAATGCTTACCGCCGATACTCGCCGTGACTGCGCCAGTCATCGATTTAGGCTGCTTGTCGAAAGATAACCCATGTTTTGCAATGCGCACATTAACAAAGAGAAACCAGGACTTCAGAACATTTTTCCATTTTTCTGTATTCGTCCATTTTCATTTCACGTTCGGAAAATTCGATCGAGAGCGAGGGCAACACTAGGCAAGTATTAATCGCGACGCCTGAACGAAGCAAGCCGTACGTGCGCTCAGAGTGATTGCCGCAAAATTTGACACCTCAGATTATTTCATGAGTAGTCCTTTTGTTAGCAGCTGACCCGGTACTGCCTAGACTGGTTACAATAAGATCAACACTCCTGCAACTCTTAACCAATTTGCAGTTCCCGAAGAGGACTGAATCATTTACAAAACAGCTGACCCTTTTGACATCAACAAAAATTCCTATAATCAAAATTTTTGTTACTACTTCATTACTTAATTACTTCCGAAGTACCCAAAAAACCTCGATAGTACTCGCAAGCAGACAGAATAGGAAGCGCTCTAACCCAGTGACAACAATGCGTATTTTGACTTCTTTGGTCGCGTGCAACCGGCACGCTTTTGCGATGAGAGATGGACACACAAAAAGAAGATGGCCCAGATTTTTCCACCATGTTGAAAGCGTTAAAATTATGCGGAGGCACAACAGTGGAGTTTCAACCAAAAGGAGGTCATTGCAGTGAAGAAGCACTTTTACTTACGTACTTTCGCAGCAATAGCTGTCAAACAAAATATATTAATTTGACGTGGTTTTTGTAGGAAAAATATATATTTTGCGATCAATATTTTTATATCACTTATATAACTCATTACTTGTTTTCTTTATGGTGAAATGAACAATGAAAAACAGAACTAAAAATTCTGCAATGCTTGGGAAACCTTTGCTAAACTACATCACATCTAGAGCATGGTGGTCTAGAGGAGTGTGTCTGATCTATAGAATAGGTACAAAAAAATAAGAGAAGAAAATAGATGGTGAGGCTGTGAAGCGCATGCGCACCGCATGGTCCCATGCGGCCTACAAGGCGCGAGGCTCATAAGCATCGCACTGTCAGTAGTGTAAGTAGACTCACGACAATAGGTCATTCATGACAGTAACCAATTCACTATGAAACTTACTGCCTGCAGATCAGTGAGGACTGCAAATGCGTTCGTAATCTGCCTTTTGGAAAGCTTTCCCAGTGGCATCTTGTCAAGATCAAGCTGCAAAGAATTACAACCGCATAATCACAGATGTCGGATTGATATCTGCATCTGAAACAACGAACCTGGAAACTCAGCATTGCGTTCTCCATCTGCTCCTTATCGAAAATCATGAGCAGAATTTCCTTGATTGCCGTGTGGAGAGTAGTCTTTGAGCCGGGCACTACAGTATTTGGCTTTGCGGATTCCTAAACAGAAGTACATAGATACACTGCTAGCTTATCGTGTGCTGTCGATATACATAACGCCGCCTCTCCAAAAGACTACTCAACGGCTATAACAACAAATGCTTGCTTAAAAAAGCCACTAATTTCAAACCATATCAATGATAAAATATTCAGTTTATTCTGAATAGAACTCGATGCTAACTTAGTTTAAGGCGGCCACTTCCACGAGAGCGCTCAGCATGCTCGCCTTCCCTCAGCGGCAAAGTCTGAACACACACATTTCAGTTTTTTTTTCGCCCATGTCAAGTGACTCGCCTCGCCTCTCGCCCCTTATACTGGCTACACCGCCCCTGGCTCACGGATTCTTCTGGCGCATGTCGTTGAAGGCCTCCTCAAAATTACACAACTTAGCACCTAAAAAAAACAACGCCTATACACTCTGCCACACTGACTACTTCTTCTCTCAATTTATTAGGTTAGGAAGGTTGTTGCGCCAATTTCAATTAAATATTCTTTTTGTTTACTATACTGGTTCAGTTGTATATTCGCCGTTCATGTCCACAACCTGCCCACCACACTCAGACATTTCTCAATGTCCCTTTGTTGGCCACCACAGCTCTAGAGCTGTATTGTTGGCTCACTTTGCTATGTTTGTGAGGTGCAATGTTGTGAGGATATAAATCTTGCGCGTTACGGGTGCTTGTGACGCAATGCACCGGACAAACCCTAGAGTTTCACAGTGTAGATATCTAGCTACTGCGATGAAAATCACTAGTCGAGTTCCCCTGGCAACACTTTCAGTAACAGGAGCCTGAGACCCGGTTGAACTTCCAAGGAAATTCCTCATGATCGGGCGCCGGCGCAGATGGAATATGCTATGCGTTACATGAAAGGAATGTAGTACATTGAACCTATCACAACCGTGATTGGTGATAACCATCGTGAAACCATGACTGACCAGTGAGTTTTTTTCTAACCAGGAACGGATGGTTGGTCGAAGTGGCCATATGTAAAGAGACCTACACCGTTGGATGCGTTTTTGGACGCTGATCTCAATGCGCTTTCCAAATCTGCCAAACGATTTTCCGAACGGAGTTATGAAGGAAAGTAGCGCAGCAGTAGTTGTCCGGGTTCAAGTGCGAGACGTCGTAGGATCAATTCCCTGGCGGGTTCTCTTTTTTTACCTTCGCTGCAAAACGATTGAAAAAGGCTCCCAACTACCGTACTCGATCAACGCTTGCCTGTGGTTGCCCGCGCGAAGACTGCGAGGAGTTTCTAATCAGTTTCGGCGGAACTTACTAAAGACTGCACATGGAGCCCAAAGAACTCTTGGCAGACGTTTTTGCAGCAAACAAGTGTGATATTCGTATTCCGGAGATCAAAATACACCTAGGGACAAGTTTGTAGCCAAATTTGAGATTTCGTATGAAATTTCGAAATGAGCTGGGTACCCTCCATCAGCCTATCATCGAAGCCTATATAGCCTTGAGAGGATATAAGTTTTTGTTGGGTTACTGAAAAGGTAAAGCAGTACTGGTTTTCTGCTCACGTGATTTCAACACCCACACTTTATTACTTTCAAATTTAAAGGGTCGCCGTCGTCCAAAATAGGTCAACCCTGGAACTGAAGGCTATGGATATGTAGTAGCATCAATGAGTGACTCGCCCACTTGTTTTGAAGGTAATTCAAAATCTCGAATTTTTCTAGAAATCGGCTCCAGGAATTATTGGACTACTTGAACACAGTTCTCACATTCTTTCACTCCAAAGCGCTGGAGCGCGCGCTCCGTATACTGGCGCGCCTTAACATTATGTAGTGGCATGCATGTTTGGAAGAATTTCGAAGTTATCGACATCAAACTCATCGAAAAGCAAGTAGGGCTGACCAATGAAGGAATCATGTTTCACTACGGCCAAACAGTCAGTCACAAAAATGCATAAGGGAAAACACGATGCGGACCCGAACCACTGACCCCGAAATCCCAACCCCCCCCCCACCTTAACCATTGGGCCACCAGTCCTCCACCAGGAAGCTCACTGCTCCGATCACAAGGCGCTGCTGCTGAGGTCGATTCCTCACTGTGTTAAACTGTAAGAGGGAACAAAAAGCCTTCGTAACTCCGTTCAGCGAATCGTTTGGCAGATTTGGGAAGAAGATTCGAGATCAGCGGTCCGAAACTACATAGCATGATACTTGTTTTATTTCCTATGGCCACTTCAACCCCGTTCCACCCTTAGTGAGCGGTGCATTTCATTGAATCGGCGACTTAAAAAATGAAACACGAAATTTCGATTTTTTCAAGGTTACTGATTGTGACGCATTTGTCTAGCAAGTGGGTGGGGCTACTGGAATGCGCTCAAATCGTTATTCATACTGTGCCCTCAAGAATTGAGAGGCTGCTTTTTTGTGCTGCGTGTTGAGTTTGCGGTAGTCCTTTCTGCGCACATTTTTTTGTAGATATTCTTCAGCCAATACTTTGAAGTGATGTCTGAAATGACTCTCTTCATATGAGAGTCACTTCAATTAGCACTGAAACTCACACATAAGAGTAGCTCTGAGCATAATGTTAAAAGAAGTAGGATTACCCAATAACTCATATATTCTGAGACACACCACTACGATGATGCGCAGCCATCGTTCTCACGCTCACCAATAGTCCTCGAGTGCGCTCTAGTCGACACGAAGCAGTAGCATGGTTGCCGAGCAAGCGAGCCTTCGCCGCTTTCATGACGAAAGATGCGACCTTTGCTGAGCAGCCCTTATGATCGCCGGCCCCTGAAGTCTCCACGTACTAGTTAGTTGACAATTTGTGGCAAGTTGTGTTGCCAACAGTGCACAACTAGAGCAACTCCACTAGAGCATGGTTTGGCTTATGGTGCCACCAAACGCGCGTTGCGCTAAACTCGTCCATGCGTCGCTGCTTCGCCGTTGCTCGTCCATGAGTGAAAATCAGCGACCCAAACAGGGGGATCCCGTTTTGTGTTTTCCTTGGGAATTTCTCTGTTTTTTCCACACTGTTATATATACTGAACACCTCACACATCCCTCTAACAGGGTCAACCGTTACGTTGGACCGATATGAGCGACCGTTGCGACGATGTTGACCGCTTCCGCGCCGGCACTTCATCTCGCACCGCGCAGCCGTCTTTGTCTACGTCTGATACGTTAACTCTCGGCATTGCTCTCGTCGTCGCGTGGACTTTGTCCAACGTACGGTTGACCTGCCTTCTAAACTCCTCCAGAACCTATCATAATCTGCTGCTCAACGCCGTAGACCATTCACTACAGCAATTATTTTTTCCATGAAAAACGTCATCGAACAGGGATCGAATACACGCTGGAAACCTCATAAAGCGCCTCCCTTCAAAAAACGATAAAGCACAGGAGATTTATGCAATATGAGAAGTTTCAAAAAAAGGTTAACGATTAGATGATCGGGTAGGGGCGGACAGTGGGCGAGGGACAAGTGAGCGCGCTCACTCACGCGACGCGGTCCGGCGGATCAATCCTCGGAGTCGTGAGTCTGCCGCGGGCCAACCAAGCCTTCCATCCCTCCATGGGGTCGGTTAATTGGTACCAGACTTGTTTAGTGGGAGGATAAAAAACACTGACTTGAACAATGCGGCTGGCCCCCGCGCAAAGTCTTGTATAAGGCCACAATCGCATTCAAATGCCACTGCGAATGTACAAATGGAAGCTTTAGAATCGCGTGCGACATCCTAAAACTTGGATTGATCAACGGCAAATGCTTTTATCCTTTTTTTTTAATGATCGGGTAAGCAACAAACGAGATCGCGTTAACAAGATAGCGCACACATCTTGAATCTTGGATGCGAATTTCATATATATCCTTCGTTTTTCTAAAAAATCAACGACATTCGGGATTACAGTTGCGCGCGACAGTCTTCGTGGAATGCTCTTTCAAGCGTAACTTTTCCTTACTGATGAAATCCACGAAACTGCAGTATGTTGATCAAATGAATATTGTGAATTATTTCGTCTATTTGCCGCCAATGCGCTTTTAGTTCACGGTACATGAGCGAGATCAAACTCAAAATCAGTGCGGAGCACGGATGCAATAGGCTAGCGAAAAACATTTTATTCGATACAAAATATATATACTACAAGCATCAATATGTTGTAGGAAACCTCGACTACTGATGACAGCGGTCAAGCGGAAGCAGGTCGAGCCGATAATTTTTGGATGGTAGACATTTGCATGGCGTACCACTCTTTCTCTAGTTCAGCGAACTTTTTCTTTCTTGGTTTCTGCCTATATTTGCCGGAACAACGTCTTTTGAGCTCTTCCACATGATCTAGGGATATTAGATCAGTGAAGCTTGGCAATAAGAAGTCTGACTTGCTGCTCCAGAGGCGCGCTTCACTACTGCTGAAGTGTGTTATCGTGAAGTTATATTAATGATCCATCCTGCGGCATATGCTGACGTGCCCATGGCAGTACGATGTCGACCATCACGTTCATATAGTACTGCCCTGTCACTAGTGGTATCAATTTTCAGAAAGGGGACCCATTCCGTTCAATGAAAAAGCGCCGTTACCATGACAGATCCTCCGCCCATGCTTGGTTGTGGGTACAGGTACTTACCATGCACCATCATTCCGAACAATTGAACTTACTCTCGTCCGTGAAAAGACAAACTCTGCTCCAGTCGGCCACGTCCAGTCGACGTGACGGCGCGCGAACTCCATTCTCAGCTCTCCTATTTTCGAATTATGAAGGAGCTTTCTTGGCTAGACGCTTCCGTGGATCCCAAAATCCTTTCAGGCGTCTTCCACGGCTGCCGTACTAGTTTGGTGCCTTCGTTCATATTAAATTCAGTTCGCAACGTCAACCGCAGTGAGGCGAGGGTCAGCTTTCGAGGCGCCTTACAATTCTTCTATCTTCCATTAGATGGAGTGCATCGGGCCTTTCTGTCCTCGTTTAGCATTTGCAAAACAGAGTTTTCTAACCTGATATCGTTGATAATTGAAGGATCGTCTGTTGAGGAATCCTCGAACCCGTTGAAATAGCCGTGACTTTCATGCCTGATTCTTTCATGTTAACAATTGCTTGCCGAACACCTTGAGCGACTTCTATTCTTCTAGGCATACCTTAAGTGTGAAAGCACTAATACTGAGCCTATACGAGCTTTGAAGAATGCAAATTCGTTACCTTGTATCAGGAAGTAACACTCCCAATAAAAAACCTTTGTGCGTAGGTCACGTGATCGCGCTGTTTTTTGCCATATATGAAATAACTAGCTTTATTTCTGCATGAATTCGCGTCGAAATTTTACATAATTGCTTATCTAGAAAGAAAGTCACAATTGAAATAATGTTCACGAAGCTTTGAGCCACTGTTACTGCTTCAGAACGAGAGGGACTTCAACAAGCCTTCTAGCTGTTCCATTCCTCCACAGCTCCTTAACATTTCATGGGTTTCACGGTTCAATTACAGAACATAGGAAAGCAACGGTTCCACACACGGTGAACACCCGTCTTTTATGATAAAGAAGTAGATGGGCGTGCGCGCAGGACATACGAATAATGCTACTGACTTTGAGTTTTTGTGAATGAATATAAGGAGATTCACTGTTTGCAAACTCTTATGTTGGAATAAGATTCGAGACACATTAGGGTCCAATACAGTGTTACCGTTTTAAAATGGCTTGTAGACGACTTCGGCTGTGATTGAAACGAATTAAATAAAAACATACAATTTCGCTGAAGTCGGTTTCACCAAATCATGCAACCTGGCCAGCTTTTTGAAATTGTGCTTCTGTTTCAATTATTACCGACTTCTCAGGAAAGATCTGGAATTTAATAATTAGAACGGTCAATGTAGTGTTTCACTATATGTACAGTAGCGGTCAAAAGTTTGGAAACTTTTTTATTTTTGATCTAGCGCGGCCGATACGCAAACGAAATTTTCCCAAATTAAGATACTCCCATACAGAATCGAGTTCGGGAATACGACGAAGAGAACAATTTCCAAAAGCCATTGTCATCCTTAGAAATAATTTTTTTCAAGTGATAGCGGCTGTCAAAGTTGGGAACTTTTGTCCTATCAGTATTCATTCTACTCTTCAATGTTTATTTTTTCTGTTAATTTTAGTTAAACCATTGAGCAATGTGTATTTCAAATATGAATTCATATGCAAAGAAAGCAGTTTTTCCATGGGGTTCTTTAAACCTACAATCCGGAATAACAATTTGAAACTGTTAGAGTCAGTCTCTACGGAAGCAACATTATCGGAGTGTTTCTAGCGTTATTAGAGTCGAGCAGCATGAGAAGAATGACCATTCACAAAAAAGCACTTAACAAGAAAGTTGGTCCTCTTCAAATACTTCGAAAGGGGTTGGCACGTCCGTGCCCCAACATTCCCAACTAAGAGTAAATCTTTTTCCTAATCATTGAAAGTCCAAGTGCACGCCAGCGTCGCGCCGTGACCTGGTGAATATTACGGATGATATCCCACAAGAAGCCTTTGTTTGGGCTTCAAGGGAGAGATGGCCCAACTGGCTCCTGCACTCTAACGGCTAACGTGAACCGCGAGCCAGAGCGTGAAACTTTGTCCTCAACGACGAATCAGATGTCTATCGTCTAGAATAATTAAGTGGACCCTGTGAAGCGCTTTTTCAAATGGAACCTCATTTTGAGTCTTGAGATTCCAACAGTCAGAAATAGTGGAAGTACTGTCAATGGATGAACTGTGTCTGACCAGTCGGCGATTCCCAATGTCTAGGTATCCAGCGAAATGTGGGTGGGCTAAGTACAAGTAGTCTGTAGAATACAATGCTCCACTCGAAAGTAGTCAAAACTAGCCGGAAAAGATGAGTTTTCTATGCGGAAAATAACCGATGCAGGCCACCTCCCCCTGCGCATTCCTCATCCAGAAAAAGGAGCTGCTATTGAAGCGACCAAGTCATGATCTGAAGTCTAACTGAGTTATACATCTCACGGAAAAAGAGGCATGTTGCTATTACCCACGTTACAGTTAAGAATCCCACCAAACAATGTGTTTAGTTCACATGTTATGAGGTCCGACTTTAAAATCCTAAAAATTATTTTATAATCAATTACCATGTCAAGAAAACGACGCTAAGATAGAAACTCAAAGCTAGTCATCAAATAAACAATTTTATCATGTGGATTGAGAGCTATTTTGCAGAATTCGCTTTAGAATTCGTAAGTTTCCAACTTTTGACGCACTATTTCCTATAAAATTCAGTATTTTTCAACGTGATTTCAGGTTTTAAAAATCATGTTACCTATCGAAAGTCTACACTAGATTATGAATACAATATGCGAATTCGGGGGCAATTTTCATTCTTATCGGCTACGCTAGATCAAAAATAAAAAGTAAAAAAGTAAATAAAATAGTTTCCCAAACTTTTGACCACTACTAGTATATACTATCGATTATCGAGAGTTCTGGGCGTAGGCATATGCGTGTTACCTTGTATTCGCATTTATGCTTGCCCGAACGAACCAATCGAGACGGATACGCAAGGCTGATATGAGCAAGAAAAATTTTTGGAATTTAGAAATAGCCGCTCACCTTTCGAACGCCTCTGTGGCACTTCCTTCGCTACGGAACAACTCCGTCCTCGTGCCACCAATAGCTGTTCCGACGCGACCCCAAGAGCGGAACAGATAGAAGCTGAAAAGCTACTCCAGAAAATATTTGTCATGATTTATCATCAATTTTTCGAATTAGCTTACGTTGGTTTGGTGTCGTTTTTGAGGAGCTGTATTTTGTAGTATGAATTTCTATTTGTCTGCAGGTCCACGCTTCCAAGAACAACAGAGTACAATGCACCTATAATTCAAAATCCTTCTGAATACACTGGGTTCATAACAGCGCCAATTTCTACTGATAGCTTCACAAATCGAACTTAGTGGACGCCAGGGATAAAAGTTGGAGTCACCTTTAGCGTCTCGGTGGACATGCGAAACTTCTGAATATTCACACTCTTGATCCACGACCGTACCTCCTTTGACGAGCTGTTTTGATAATCCAGAACCAACTGCAAGACCAATTAGAAGGAACGATTCAACATAAAATAAGGCTGTAAAAACATTTGAAAACGTAATTTGCACTCGTGTGCGCTGGGTATGTGAACATAAGATCGAATTCAATGCGGTCGGGAGAGCGGGAACCATGAAGAAATTCTCGTTAAACATTTAAGAGACAAGAGGGCAGTGAAGGGTGTTCGCTTCTCGGGAAATTTCGTCTCAAGAAACCCATCAAGGGCGGAAACTTCTGCGGCGAAAAGTTTGCTGATATGGGCCATGGGTAAGCCTTTTTCTGACCCTCCCGCTCGTGTGCCGCTACACATACCGTGATTCTGAAGAGGCAGCCACCATACCGTAATAAAGTGGACGATGGTAATTGTTGTTATAAAGGTTAAATGGCGCGCATTTCACCTTTACATTTACACAAGTGTGATGTAACCGTCTCCAGGACACACTTTTGAAGAGCACAGGTAAAGCAACCTGTATTGAGGTCGTTTATGTCAGGTTCACACATCTGTACAACAGTTTTGAACTACGGAGTGCGTCCACGCCGCCATGGATAAGACAGCTGCGGCTGCCGGATCGCTGGTATTTAATTGCTAGAATCGAATTGCTTGATTCGCAAAGTGACACTGGCCGTATGTGTGCACACTTGGGCATTTTGCAGATTTTTTAACGTTCCACAAGAATCCATGGACAAATTGTTTGCAGTGTACGTAGTATAAGCGAGCGCCATGGGGACAAGACGAGGAGCAAACGCTAATAATGCTATCAAACCATGACATATGAGGAGCAACGAAGACATTTTTTCTAGACTGTATTTCCGACATCCATCATACACTTAGCACCGACCTCCCATGCTTTTCCCTTCCACATCTCCAGCTTCAAAGTTAGTGATGCCCCGTGAGCCAAAGCGTTTGAAAGCATCGGAATGGCTGAAAAGGCCAGTGGTAAAGCATTAGTCGTTCGGAAACATGCAACTACAATATTTCTCTGGATTCGAGAAAAATTATCTGACTCCACAATCGTTTCCTTAGCTACCAGCTCGTTGTACACGCGTTTCGGCATGAGCTGAAATCAAAATGAATCAGATATATCAACACGTTCGAAATCAGCAAATTGCCGCGTGCCCTCTAGCATTACCATTGTCAACCGCCGTTATATGGGATTGTGGTAGCTCTCCGTATTTCGCTTTCGATAGTCAATAAACCTCCAAGGGTCCATCGTGAGTAAACAAATCGTTTTCCAGACCCAATAATGTATATAAGCTGTCTAAGAAAACAACAAAGCGTTGAATAAATAGAGCAAAACTAGGCTGCTCTAAGTGAAAATGTAGCATGACGCCATGTCACACGGTCATCAACGTGCTAAGCACTACACCGTCCGCCACTTGCTTATGCCACGCTCATAACTTTTTCATTTGGTGTAGCGATAGTCCATGTCATCAACTTGATGTCCCCTACATTTTACTATTCCCTATGGCATCATTTTTGCTCACTCGGTACGCCGCCAATTTTCAAAGATATCCGATCAAGCTTAGCGATGGGTACCGGACGGGTGGTGAGTACGAGCCATATTTTACAAAAACAGAGAATTTGTAGGCGTGAACGCTTTGACCTTCGCGAGAGCCGAGAGCACAAAAAAAAGTTGACCACGGATCTGAGACGCCAACAAAGTGAATTCAAGAGCTACTTCAGCACGGCATGCTCTCCAGTTTTGCCTGGATATACTCCTCTATGACTCCTATAATAAGCAGCAGGAGTGACCGCAGAAGAGAGAACACAGCTCTTTCTCTGAAAAAGCGCTGCTGCCTCCGACGATGAAGGCTAATATTCCCTGAGGTAGTTAGTTATAAATAGTCCATCATTTATGGGCATGTGTAGAAAAGATCTCCTCATAACTATTGCAAGCATACCGTGGCTGAGAGAGGAGTGAAGAAGGCGAAAACAGTTGACGTGGCCCGTTTTCTTCAGAAGAACACAGCAATCTAACAAGAATGCTGGGTTGTGAACAAAACGTTCGTCCAGACAGGACTCGTACCCGCACCACTTGCTTACCGGGCTCTGCGCATACCACGAAAAGCTGAGTTGGGATGAAATGGTGTCCCAGGTTGAGTAACTTGTAGCGTAATTGCCCGGTAAGCAAGGAATACGGGCTCGAGTACCGTCTCGGACAAAAGTTTTGTTCACAACCCAGCATTCTTGTGAAACATTCGCAAGACGAACTGCGGCCAAAAACAGCAGGTTAAAACAAAAAGAGCAATTTAAGTTCCTGTGCTGGTCAGAATCAAACAAAATCACTCCTTATTTTGAAACAAGCCGGAAACGATTGCTGTGCCGATACATGGAAGTTCAAACCAAGCTAGAAAACTGTAATAATGGGGGTGGCATAAGCAATTGACAGGCGGTTTGAGATACAGTGCCGAGAGATTCATACCCTAGGGCTGCACAACAGGATTTTTACACGACGTTAAAACGCACAACCCAGGCAGGAGTCGCGTGAACGATCCCATTCGGCCTGTAGGATAGACCCTAGGAGGCAATACAAGTGCGGCATTCCCGCGCACGGAAATCACTCGATGTGAGCGGAGGGCCTTCCGAATAAAGCTTTCTCCTACTTCTCCCATTTCGCACCAACATTCCGATTCGTGTGCGAGGACCACACCAATTTCATCCTTAGGTATGCTTCTAAGCCAGGGATCCGTTTACCTAATAAGTTCTAACATATAAAGTATTTTTAGTCAGCACTGAAAAAGTAGAACTTTACTAACGTTAACTTTGAGATTCTTGAGGTACGCATTCTCCTTCATATCTTTCGGTATGGTAAATTTGATGCGATCAGGGTTTTCGTTTCGATAAGTGCACTTTGTGTACTCCGAAAGCTGCCCATTGCATCTGTATGTCCTTAGCGACGAACTGAAAGACCAAAATAGAACAAGCAGCCGAACAAACAAAACGAAGAAATTATTTTTTTCATGTGCTTTTCATTTGTTAAAGAGCATTAAAACGAGTCCGAGGTTTGAGATCCCTACCAAAATAAACCGCAATCAAAAAAAATTATTGGTGTGGTGTAAAGGAACCTATATATGAGTGTCCCTCCACACTTCGAACATGGTTTGCAACAGCCAAACATGGCACAGTCCACGAGGTAGTCGAGGATCTGAAAATATGTCCAAACTCCGAGGGTAATACGAAAAAATATCAATCGAGCATACCTTGCTTTCACCGGATGGGGGAGTGAGATCATTGGAGATGAGCAAGTCCATCATTTCATGCTTTGTAAGGTTCTCTTTGAAGCCGCTGCGCAATTCCCACATCATATCAGTTTGCTTCTGGAACGGATAAAATTGAAATTGTGCAAAAATGTGGATGGAATTTTGAATAATACAGTATATTAAATTGTTTTGAAGTGGCCGCATTACTTTAGAACAACAACCCGAAACAGCCACATTCCCTGAACTTCAAAATGTCCTTTACGACCCTGAAGCGTTAGGTCCACCTAACAGAGTGAATACTGGTCGAGGATTCCTCAACGGCACGTCGAGGATTTTTGCCTGATCATTTACTTCTCCAGCGCGGATATTCAAACTCGGCATGCGCGAGCTTTCTGTGCTCTCCGTGCACACGGTCACTCTCGGCACTACTCTCGCACAGTATAGAGCCATGGTCGAAGAATTCCTCGACCGTTATCCATCTTGCTACCTAGCACTCGCAAAACCCGAAAACAGAGAGAATTTACACTTTTATAGGGCAAGGTTCAGAGTGATATAGTTCATTCCAACAACATGTCGTAATTGGAGACTTGTGGCACAAGTGGCAGGGGCCTCTAGATATCGACATCAGATGTTTTTTGATGCCCTCAATGCCACCAAGCTCTCAATGGTGATACCAAGCCACTGTCACCAGGCCCGCAAATACGACAGGTCACACTTTGGAAAACAATGCACTACTACAGCGCCCCAAGAATTCTGAGAAAATTGTGTCACATTATTCAACAAAATCCTAACTCCTATGGAGTACTTCGTCTGTCGTTTTGTATGTCATTCTGTGTGTCGTTCTGTCACTATATCTCTCACTAAATTCCATACTTCCTGGAGATCCGCCTGGAGAGACCGGATCAAGTGTGGGATGGGTGGGCTATACCTCGTGAAGTATAACGTGCATCAACTAACAAGGGAGGTCGTTCAGGGTGTGGAGAGCTTTTTCAAAACGGTTCCTTGCATGCTGAAGGGGCTCTCACGGGGACTACAGTACTATGTTTCATTTTCGCTGAGCGGCCCCCTAAAGGTCAAAAAATGGTAAATAAATGGTCCAGGGTTCAGTCCCTCCTGATGACAAAATTTTTGCATTCGGACTGGAGCCTCGAAATTCGCTCAAAATAGCGCCAGCACCAATATTAAGCTACCGTATTCTTTATCAAGACCATGAATGAGTACTGCACTCGAACTATTGGAAGAATCTAGCGGAAAAAAGTTGTAGTGCCAAAAGACGCCAAATGGCACCTAAAAAGCGCTAATTGAAGCCATCGGAAAAGATTGATGTCATATTCATGATCAGGGCACTCGATATTCTCTAAATTAGCAGTTCTAGAGAAAATTGAGATTTTTGACCTTGTCCGAAAATTGGCATTTGAAGAGGTCAGCGTAAGTACCTTGCAGCTGTGATGGGAACGAATTCTTGTTCTCCTTCTCAATTAAATAGAAGTTCATACTAAATGGACAACTGGGAGACACAGCTGGGTGATGGAACAGACCATGATTTCGAACGACAGTTCGTCCATCCATAGGACGTGGGTATGATTGGACCCCAGTGCTCCTACACTGACGGTGATCTCGATAGCTGGATCGATTGCAAGACGGGGACGTGATGGAAGATGTTTAGTATTAAAATGGAATTTTGGTTTTCGTGAACAACAGGCGTTCCGCTGATTCCGCGCGGCACTCTTCAACTTGTTCGCTGGCGTGCTGATGACATGTATGTCGCCCTTTGCGAATGTTATGGTCAAAACTCGATTATTCCCGAATTTCCTGCATGCGGGGGGAATCGGGTTCCTGATCACAATATGGCTTTGTTTTTTGGCGTAGCCGCCAGTTGACGACAGTTTTGGTGCTGCAACTATATCCGCAGTTTTTTATAGGAAAATCATTTGTAAGAGCTATGTTGTTGTACTGTGAATATAGCGTTGAGTTTGACTCTAAAGCAATTCTGGGTCAGTGTTGAGTAACGGTTTTTATAAAGATGCAATGGTTGCCGTCGGCTAGGCTCGAATATCAAACTGTGCAGACTCGAGGGCAGACACACGACATTGACAACGCTTCGCTGCAATGGGAGCGGATGCGACGGCGCTTATGAAGTGCTCGTATTTCCTTCGAGATTACACTGACAGAAACTCAATTTTAGCGCGAATTTCACGCTGTTTTTCGATACGCGTGTTATCGAGTACCCTTCAATTTGCTGAGTGACTTTTCACAAGGTTCAAAGCAACAGCTCCAGGCACTGGAAACACCATTGCTTACCAACTTTTTTGTTCGAACCATTTTTGGAGCCCTTCAGGGGGCGCTCAGCCGGAAAATGGAACACTAAGTAATGTGTCTACGTGAGAGCCCTACGGCATATGCAAAGAACCGTTTGAAAAGGCGTCGCACACCTGACGATCCTCTTGTAGTTGGCGCCCTCGGATAAACGAGGTGGAGTGCCTAGAAATGAGGCGGTATTGACACGACAATTTTTAAATTCAATTTCGAACAGCCTTAGAGCGGGCGGAAACGAAGTAAAGGCGGGCAGTGTTAAGATAGTAGCGAGAATTGGAGGAGACCACTTGCGATGGGCGGGCGTTCTTTCGAAAACAGTGGCATAATGAAAAATTATAAAGATTAAGATAAAGGATCCAGAGAGAAAATTTCATGTGAGAAGAATAACCATGCGGTTTCCCAGCATACCACGGCAGAATAGGAATGGGGCCGAGATCCACCCACCACAGTAGGCGAAGTAGAGTGTTCTTGAATGGAAATGTTTCCTGAAAGCCTATATTCGGTTTGAAGTCCAGAGACCGGGTAGAGGTGGATAGGGGCAAGAGAGAGGGGAAGGTTGATGCCAACTGGGTTTGCCGTCACCAGGGTGCTACCAAACTCATAGGGCCAAAGGAACTGAGGGCGCACACTGCTCCGTCGCATCTGACTTATTAGTGGCACGCAGTATTGAAATGGAAGTATCAAAGATTGGTTGTGGGGCCTCTATCTCCTAAACATTAGAGGAAAGACGGAGCGCATCGGGGAAAGAGTGCACCACACGAATCATTTAACTTGGTTTCAGGGAAGCGAAGATGTGGCGCTTTCAAAGAAGAAGTGCACTGGTTGTGAGCAGGACTTCGAAAGCCGTCCCAAAGCGATCCGCCCACAGTTTACGGGTTGATTTGGAGCGAGCTGACGTGGGACAGCAGCGGCGCAAATGAGATTTTCGTGGTTGGCATTAGGTGCCATCGGATTGCGCTGCGCGGTAAATTCATTCATATGTCCACTTTCTTAGACGACCAAAAAAGGGTCCCGTTTTTGCGGTTTCGTTACGGTTTTTATGCTTGACGCTGTAGGGTACAATGAGGCACAGTAGGTCACACTGACCTTTCGAATTTATCGCGCCACTATCCTATTAAGCTGTGCTTTTAATCGACCAGGGAGCCAAAATTGCATTGGAACAATGCTTCTAAGAGATGGGCATGTAATAAGGTAAGAGGGAAAGACAAGCAGTTTTTCAACGATTATGTTGAATGAGACGAGAAGGGTATTACTATATCTAGCATACGATGCAAAATAGTCTACGAAAGAGACAAATCAGGGATACCTTAAGCAATTCGTAGATCGATTGGCTTGGACAGTGACCACGCGAGGTTTCTTTGCAGGGCTCCAGCTCATCTTTCGCTGCTTGCATTTGTAGTATTTGCGCTAATCAATGCATAAGTACGTATACATGTTAGAAGTCAGGAAGTTAACTGAGTAATAGGGTTTTATTCATAACAAAAAAAGGGTTTTTTTAACGGTTAATTAGGCCCAGTCGGATTTCGGGTGGGGGGGGGGGGGGCCTTTCTCAAAAGCATCGCGCAGTATTTCGTTGTGTAATAGTACCCCACCCCCACCCCCCGCTCCATTGCGTTGATTGAGTAAAATCGGCACTCGCTAACCGGGGGTGACATCTATACCAGTCAGAACTACGACTAGTGCACAGAATGTATTGCGGGGAGTATTTTTGTAGTTGACTTCAATAAGTGACCGAATCTCTATTGAAGCGCCCACCTGTGCAATTTTTCGGTCAACTGGAGGGAGTGCGAGTCAATGACGTTATTAGAAACACTGTATATTTACGTACGAATAAACGTCTGAAAGGGAGGCGGCCACGCAGGGGTTAGACCAGCTCAAGATGTCGTGAAGTGGTGGTCTCAGTTGTAGTGCCCTTTAGAAAATTCGTAGACAATTGTTATTCGTTTTGTTCATAGGTTTGCTTTAAGCGCCACAAATATGTCGCAAAACAGCGTGCATTGAGGTTGTGTTGTTAGGAGCACCGTACGGGGACAAAAGTAAGAGTACACCTTGAAAGGAACGCTCAACAGATATGTAAAGGCAGTCCGTAGTGTTACTGTGTTTTGGTAACTGAAGTGGACTGTGAAGATTTGGTCATAATAAAAAAGCGAACGGAAATAAAGAGTCCCTTTAGTTGAGCGAAGCTTAAACCAGATGTTTTAGGTTGGGACCAATGAAATTGTGCATCTAAAGGCTCAGCGCTTGGGCTATGTCATCATTTCAACATTCGTACACGCTCGCCCCCTTGGTATCTGCATTTTTCGGGAATGTCTTAAAGGCGAGATTGTAGCCTAAAATTGATGAGGAGAGTTACTCATGTGTGATGTTAGGGGTGGGAGGTGGACCGCCAGTGGAAAAATAAGGAAAAAAATCGTGAAATACACAGTACGTAAAATACGATAATACAGCTGTTGCTACGTTGCGGGAAAAAGTTAAGGGCGCGGGAAATGAGAGTAATGTGAGCGTCAGAGACGGATTGGAGGAAATCTGGAGAGAGAGCAATAGCATGTAGTATTGCGACGGAGAAAGACATCGGCGGTGGACGGGGCGTGTCGCACACATGGAGGCGGTTTCAAAGTTCTGGCCCCTAGGCTCAGTGACGCATTCGATGCGGATTTTGGGCGGAGTGCCTGCAGTTGGTCCCATGCATTCTAGATTTACACATTGCGGCGCCGCGTTTGAGCATCTTCGGTAGCTAGTTTTATATTTTTCAAACGATTCTCATTACTATCAACAGTTTAATTGGGATTGGACACGGTATTGGTTTTCCAGGCTCTGAAAATTGGAGTGCACCTCATTGGAGGACTGGAAAAATGACAATAATCAATTAACTTGGTTTCGTTGTAAAATGGTGCGCCACCCATGCTTGGCGCACGGCGTACGTCAAAATTGTGGTTAAAGTTATATTAGTGGGGGGGTCTGAGCCCGAATCTTGCCTTTAATTTGTGTGTTTTTCGACCCGGAATCCGGACTTTGCCTGTGAATGGAGCAAAAATTGAGAGTTTTACCAACTCACTATAATGGGTTTTGACTGATATTAGGTCGGTCCAAAATTTTTTGAAACTTGGTGGTTTTCGATTATTACGTATCTTATTTTCTGATCTAATTATCCCAGCATGTATAATCATTATTATCAGCATTTCATCCAATGCGAGGTGTGGTATTAGTGGCTTCTTGTGGACTTTCACGAGTCTGTGGAAGGAAAATTGTCGTCCCCATTTCAGGTCCTCAACAAGTCTGACATCTCAAGTTCTTTGGTCGTTTCCATAGTGCTTGCATGAATCTGTATACTCATTGGTGATGTGGACGAGGTTGCAGTGTGCTAACAATCGCGAGGCCGCGTTAGTCTGTTTGAACGATTCGGAGGTGCTAACGTACCAATCCTTCTGATTCGAACTTCGTGAGTCGTTGGCGCACAGGGAGGCCTTTGCGCTGGAGACCGGCATAGCTAATACGTGTCAAGTGATGGGAGAACTGTTGACAGCTGATGACGCTTCAGTTGAAAGCCAAAGGAAGCAAATCTATTTGTTCTAGATGGTATTGAGCCCGCCTTTTAAGAAATTCCTAGAAAAATGGAGTCTCCGGCGGTCAGTCTGTTTAGCTCCGCGTTATGCACTATCCTGGTCATGATCGACGATCCCGCTTATCTCTTTAAATACTCCTGGGGAGAAGATTTCTCAATTTTTATCACCTAGAGTCCAGATCGAAGGCAATATTTGTCGATCAAACTCTTTATTTGAATTCGGACAGAGAGGCACTGGAAGACCCCTTGCATTTGGTTATATGTTTTACACGTAATAAGGGTGGATGGGTATGCTATGGCTTAATTAAGTATGCAGAAGAAATTTACGAAGTTAGTTTTGGAACGAAATACAAAGGTTTCTCAAAAGATTATGACAGACTAATATAAATCAAAACACAAGTCCCTACAACCCAGATTGGGATGGTGAGCTCTGAAAGTGCCAAACATCTGCCAACGACACACAAAACCGACTGTACATAGCGGCAGCGTACTAATCAAATGACAATAAAGGGAGAATCGTATCTCCAACAGCTCTGCTTTCGTGCCTTGTGCCGATACTTACGCAATCAACCGTACATAAGTTACTGTCAATCAAATCAATCCTTGTTCATCATGTTAATCATTTTTTTCCAAAGCATTTATCAGTGATATAACTCATTTTGAACCTACTTGCTGGTCTCCTTAACATCATCCTCCACATCTCCAGTCCTGAAAAAGTTTCGTAAAGATGGCAGTTTGATAAGGTCAAAAGTGAAGCAAAACTAACTTGTCTTCCTTCGCGAATTCCCTGAGGGATATTAATAATTTCTGCTGATCTTCATCGTTCAGATAGGAAAACCCACCTATATCCTCAATTGATCCCTAAAGAAAACGCAATCTGCTGCAGTGATAGTACTACGAAACAAAGCATAAACTCACGCCATACTTCACATTTTTGAAGAGGCACTGTTGGTGGTACCAATTGGTGAGCTTCCCAAATTTTACCTCCTTTTGAGCAATCGGAAGTTTACACGCGAAACACTTCCCTCTGAGACAAACAAATATGCTAACGTCAAGTTTGAGTTATCCCTACTTACCTACTCGATTTTGCATACTCTACTTTGAGAGATGAGAACGTGTTATCAATGAAGAGCCCTCCAAGGCCTCCACTCATAAAAGCCTTGATCTTCTCACGAATTTTCTCCTGAGTTAGTGGTTGTTAAAGTATACTATGCTTGATCGAGGCCCAGAAACATCGGGAAATACCTGATCGTCCCATTTAATCCCATCCATTCCCCTAATCGATCTCTCGTTGATTTGCACTTTACCTGGTTTGATTCGTTTCCAGAAGCATGCAAAGTGAAACCTGAAAGGGATTCAAACATAAAAGGCTTGCTTTAAAAACGTTGAGTAAGATCAGAATGTTTTTGACTCCCAACTCCTTGAATTCCTTAAATCATCAGCCGAATTTCTTGATTACATGGTTGACAGTAAGCTGATGTGACCGCTTTACTTGTCGTCACAACAAGGGAGAGATTTGAATACTACGTCACACATTTAGGTGCGATATCGTGACCAAAGTTGCTATGAAATATCTCAGTAGTCCTGTGAGCCATAAAACGGGTCAAACATAAGTATATAGACCGGACTGATAGTGAAAGTGTGCTGATACCGTACCAGTTATCTTGCAAACCGTCGAAAAATCTGCTGGGTTCGCGGACTGACATTCGCAAGCTGTCCTGAAACAAAAGAAGATACTGAAGAGTTCACATAACCCTTTCACTATCACTAGCTTATATATGTACCACCACAATTTGATCAACTCCTTTGGGAGAATGCCGGTAATTCTGAGACCAAAGTTATGTTATGTAGTATATATTCAGAGGACGCTTTAATCTTCTCATACAATAATTCGCAAGATATCAAAAAATCTACTTCAGGTAAGTTATTCGCAATATAGGTGAATGGTGACTTCCTGGGCTTTGCTCCTAATGCAACTTCCACAAGTTTTGGCCTTGTAAGCTGTCATTTACGTGTTTTTAATGTTCAATGAGGTTGCTATCTAAGATACGGGGGCATCCACTAGGATTATGCCTAGGAAGGGACACGACTTTCGAGAAAAACAATAATCTCACGCACTCTGAAGCCCTATCCCCCTACACCCTAGGGGATGTTAGATATTTTGAATCAATCATAGATTCTATTATACATTGCTCCCCTTGTGCTGGGAATGGAATCCTCATAGAAATTGGGATTTAACTCATTTGAACTCGGTCCGGTTCCCCTTTTTTGTACCTTCTGCAGGAAAACGTTGATTTCGAGCGTCTATTTCAAGGCACCACACACTTAATAGCGAACCTGGCCGCGGTCCTTCGCGCAAAGAAGTAATTTCACTCGATAATGAACGGCCGGTCATGAACCCAGGGTGTCCTCCACTGATCTTGCACCTGTTCCTCCACCAAGCTGTTATCAGTTCGTGGACGACCGAACAAGCCTGATGTCAGATGTGCGAATTCAGCGATTCGGAACTCACGGGGCCAGCGATCTGAGCGATGCACCTGTGATTCGAGCGATGCGCCAGCGACTCGACAGTGTGGAAGAGTAGCGAGAGTCAACTTGCGCATAAGAGGGCGCCCTTTCCACTCGTCACTTTCCCACACTCAGAGCCGGGTGTTCGCTCAAACCTCTGACACCTTGTTCGACCAGTGACGCATCGCTCTGACCACTGGTGCTTACAAGGGAGGTCGTTCAGGGTGTGCCAAGCTTTTTCAAAATGGTTTCTTGCATGACATTGGGGCACATAGGTAACCACAGAAGCATGGTTCATTTTTCCTGAACGACTCTCTGAATATCAGAGAAAGGGTCCCTAGTTGGATTCCTCGTGGTGACAAATTTTTGCGTTTAGCGTTGTCGTTTCAAAATTGGCGCAAAACGGAGTTAGCATGAATAATCAGTACCAAATTTTTTCTCTCTCTCTCTTAGCACAGATATTATGCCATTTTCTGTGCGCCTTCGTATGTTTTTGGTTTTATATGCGTTTTGATTGCCTACATCACGTAGACTTGTCTACGCTTTCAATAAATTAAAAATAAATAAATAAATTCATGATTAGGAATTTCAGTAACCTTACAAATAGACTTTCATTGAAAAACTGGTGAAAAAGGTGTGACTAGGGACCCCCTTTTCTGGTATGCAGAGGGCGGTTCAGGAAAAATTAATCATCGTTCTGTGGTTCCCGCCTCTATATCATGCAAAAGACCGTCTTGGAAAAGTTCGGCACACCCTGAAAGACCTTCCTTGTTAGTTCGAACCGGCGACACATCGCTCGTAAACCACGATTCGCCAGCGATTCGCTGGATTCGCGAAGTCCGATACCGACTCGACAGAGGTGACAGAATTTTGGCAACCGTCTCGCAATTGCAACTCACTTCGCCACTCGAGAACGAAAGGGCCGTCCAGCTGTTTGCTGAGGGTTACCCACACAAGCGTCTATCGCTAAAAAAATCCGCACCAAAAGCTCGTACCACGACATCATCTTTTTGATGGCAAACGCTAGCTATCTTTCTTATCGAGAATCTTGAAAAAAATCCAGCTGTGTATCATTGCCAAAATAAGACAAATGGACAGCCTACCTGTACAATAGTGTCTTTGCATCCTTTGCATGAAGAACGCGAAGAACGTGCATACTCAACACCAAATGGCAAATTTTTGAACTCTACAGGATCCATCGTTCTCTCAACTACGTTTTCGAAGCTGCAAGTTTCCTGAAAACTTGAGAAAAAAATCAACGCAACGGCGCATAAAGAAAATGACTGTTTCGAATTGCTCGATCTCGTTGGTGGAACACATTCCAAAAAAAATTAACATCTTACACACTATAAGGCGCTTCGTCTGTCGTCTGTCGTCTGTATGTCTGTCACGAAATTCCCTAGCTCCTGGGGTGCAAGTGTGGGTCGGGTGGCCCAGGTCTCGAGAAGTATAAAACACACATCAGCTAAGCGGAGCCCCGCCCACAGTGGGCGTGGTGTGCGTCGAAATGAAGTGTCTACCTACTTCTGTGCACGTCCCTTTCACTAATATCACTTGAGCTCCCTTCTTTGCTATATCCACTTTTCCCGATTTCCAGGCAGTCTCGAAACCGAGTATGATTTTTCGTGGAAAACTCATCCCACCTCAAAGCGTGCCGCATTTAACGACAGTAGTTGCCTCCCACCCCTTCTTTTGAAGGCAAAGGTCAGGATTGGGCGACCAAACAAACCCCTTTCATCATCTCTGTGTGTGGTTACGGACCCTTAAAGACGTTGCCATGCTAAGAGTCCCAAACGGCGCGGCAATGAAGCCCCAGGTGATGCATTGTTCGCTGTGGCCGCTTGGCAGGCGCTATGCCCGCCCACTTTCGGAAGTGGTATGTGGCTGGGTAACGAGTGAAATCAGCTGGGTTGATTGCCGTATCAACCGATGGCACAGAGCCAGCCATGGCCGCCATGTCTGAAAAACTCGTTTGGAGGCGCCTCTCATCTGAGCCAGCCTCTCAGCTAGAGGTAAAGGGTTTTCGTTTTAGCCCTTGTCAACGGTTTCTTTTCGTTTTTTCTCCACTGTCGTTCCGCTTCGCATCTCTACACTCAATTTCAAGCGCCATAATACCCCATATTGAGCCCGATCTTTGCCTTCAAGCTATCCATGTTTTAGACCCTCGGAACCTCTTGGAACCGAGTTATATGTTTGTAGCGAACTTAGCCCACCTTGGCCCACGCAAGTCCCCATTAACTTACACATAATCTCCCTCCTCTAACCTCAATCCTTTCTTGTGGTCTCAAGGATTTCTTTGGAACAGTTATGGAGATGTATAATAGACACTGCTCACCTGAGGACGCTCCCGTGGATGGTTTTCCGCTCAGTTCAGCTATGACGGAGACATCTTAAATAATGCTCTCCTGCATTGAATTTCTCATAGGCTTCCATCTGACCAAGTTACGATTTTTTTATTAAGCGCCGACTATATGGAGAACGCTCCGCCCACCGTGAGCGGGCTTAACAATTGCATTCCCCAAATCGGAGCGTGACTTCACCCATTTTTTCCAGGTCATCGGATTATCTATACTCAAACGGAAACGCTTGCGGTCGATACAGCCCAATTAACACATTGACGACAGCACGAGGGATATATTAGGTTGGCAAGATTAAATGTCGCTTCGTTTGTGCCTTTGTTTCTCAGCTTAAACACAGTTTCTTAAAATGGGAGACCATTCATTCGAGAGACGATTCAGCGCGCATGTGGCGAAATTTTAGGCGCACTGAGAGTATGTTCTTCGAGGCAAAACTTTTGCTCGAAGATAACTGATCAGAAATCATCGTCTGAGCGTATATATTCAAGCAAGGAAAAGCGGCCAACAAACCTCACTCATTGTGTGCAAAACATTGAGCAGTAACGCTTAGTCCATGATTTCAGCTCTCCCGAACTGAGGTAAAGGACCTGAGGAAGAAGACCGTGGATTGTGACCTCTAGCTCGAGATGACGGAGAAATAAAGAAAGCCGACGAATTGAGTCCTCGACAAACCGCACAAAACTTGCATGGAGATTCAGTTGTGTCAACACAAAACTTAAAAGTTAACGTTGCGTTATGCGTAACGAAAGGTGACCTGTGACAGAGGTGAAGGAGATGGTTCAGGTTGATGTGCTTCATTATTGCTTCTATAATGAAAATATTTGATGATCGAAAACGCATTTCAATCTGGCCAACCTATATAGCCCGCGCTTTGCAGGCCACGCCGGCCCGTGCGGAGGATATGTCTCCCGCACCTATTCTATCATTCTGATGGCACGACTTTTTCCGAAGTTTCTTTGTTTCTATTTTATGGACCGATATTGTTGGAATGTGCTTCAGTTTATTAAAGATTTCCGAAATTCGAGAACTTTCAATTCAGCTCAAACTCACACGAATCTGAAAAAGGAGTAAAATTGTGCATGGCATTGATATTTGGTCAAAAGGTTGAGAACCATAACTTGACCTATTTGTAAGAAGTTCAAAATTTGTAGTAGAAAACATATGCGAAACTATCTTCAACAGGTCTTCAATTTGATCTATTTTTTAACGCTTAAATAGCGTCCACTCAATTGAAACTTCTGCTTGGAGAGCCCTTGTTTTTGTGCTTTTCTATGTAAGCTAACTTACTCAGTCACCGCTCTGAAGTATTTTATACGTTCGAGCTCACAAACGGGCCTGCTGGTCGTGCGGGGGGGGGGGGGGGGACATGCATACACAATGAAATGCGGTCGCAAATCGCGTCGGTCGCACAGGGCCAAAAACACCCCAACTCGCAATGTCGGTCAATTTTTAAGGAATCCTGCGCGGAAAATTCTTGCACTCTTCCTAACACGAATATGTCAACTTATGATACTGGAAATAAGCATACAAGATTTCAGCCATGAAGATTCAGGTTCTGAGAGGAGACAAAATTACAACAAAACTCACGTTTATGAGACATCCGAAGGGACGGCGGAGGCCAGAGCCAGGGAGGCATGGAAAGAAGAAACGGCGTTTGGACGGGCTTACGTACCAGGCACACGCAACTGGCGAGAATCGGGTTAAAGCGCTGCGATTTCGGAGAGGCAGGCAATCGATTGCCCATGGAATAGGATGGATGTAGAAGTGTAAGGTATGTAATGCATCGAAAGCAGAAGGCCAGAAGGCTTTAGTGAATGCATCTGCCAAGAACCAAGTTGAGGCAATCTCGCGTATGCAGCATTCGTGAAAGACTGACCCGTGGGCAATTCGAAGCGTAGCCAGGCTTTTTGAGGTTTCGAATTCTTAATCAAAACGAAAGGCACTACTTTCAAGTTCTTCTCACTTATATCGTGGATAATGGGTCTCAAGCGCATGATTTACTGGCTGAATATAGAATCATAAGGTTTTTCCGCGCAAGATTCCTTTAAGCGCGTGCCTTGCGCCTAATGTGCGCAGCTGCATTCAGCCTGATGTTTTTTTGTATTTCTCGACGCACAATGCTCCAACCATCCCTAAACTTGACGCCGGATTTCCAGATTAGTTTTCCTCCATGGTACACAGATTTCATGACAACGAAGACAAAAGAAAGCAACTCACAACATACAGACTCAACCTAGCCAAGTAGGGCTTTATATACCGCATGAAGGCATTTGCCGATTGATCAGTCCCGTTTTTGGGATGAGCTCGCATGTCTACCTCATTTTTACATTCGTATGGCGCTCCCAAGTGCGATTTGGCCTATATAATAACAGTGACGTGCGGACCGATGGCGATGTAACAAGGCCAGTTCTTTATATCCTGCCCAGACAAGTCCGATAACCCCAAATCTAACAGATCCCAGGAGGGATGGAAAGTCGGTCCGTACCGCGGACAAGCACGGTTGACTCAGGATTCGAGCCCTGCACTCCTTTTGTTCGCGCGTGGTGGGCGTGCCACTTGCCCTAACACCACATTCCTGCTCTTTTTCTTTTTTATCTCCTGCTCAGCGCTTTATACGTAATCAAATAAATACCCTTACTTTATAATTGCTATGCTCCGTCAGATAGATATGTCTGTCCACGTCACCAAGTCACGAATTACGTACTACCAGAAAAAACCACCTATGATTTCGGTCAAGTTGGGATGGGTGAAAATCGGGTCACGAAAGTACAGATGCACATTTTAGATGGGTGGGCAAAAGCGCCCGAATCAGGCGCCCCGGAAAGGCAAATTTTAGTTTTGGTCCGGTTTTATGGTACAAAATTGACAAGTAACGAATGAGAAAAGAATCCGCCCGCACTGAGGGCGGAGCGGTTCTCTACATTGGCCGTGCTTGACAAAAAAAAAATCGTTACTCTGTCAAGAGAAGCCTATGAGGCAGAAGAGTCTACGTAGAAAGCAAAACCTGAAGGTGTTCTCAAGCGTATCCGAAACTTGAGCGATGTCAAAGTTTGCGAAGATGGAAAAAGGATGGATGGTGAAGGAAGGTGAGATTAAGTGCTATCGGTGATGGAGCGTTGGCACTGAAGTGGGCGCTTTGCACAAAAACAGATCGCCATCATAACACGTTCAAGAAAAAGACCCAAAATTACTGGACAAAAAAGTGAACATTAAGTCGGCGAAGGAAAAAGAGGTCAGAATGCTTTTAGAGGGCGAGAAACATGCACGAAGCAGGCGAGCCTTGCCACTCAAACGTTATAAACCGGGTTCCAAAACGCTCCCAGAAGCCCGGGGAAAAAATGGAGAGAGGTCCAGAGGATAGAAGTGCAAGTGTAGACAGATGGGTGTCATGGTCACCGCAAAGCGACAGGAGTTTGCCTTCAAGACTCATCAACTCGGTTTCAGAGTTTTGAAGATGGGGCGAGACATGGGTCAGAGCTTGCGGAGACGGGAAAGGTTACCATGCCATTGAGAAGTTAAACGTGCACTAAAGTGGATCTGCCAAGAACTTTAATAATCTGGTTCCGAAGGTCCCGGAAACCGGAAAGAGAAAAAGTGGTTAGAGCATAGAGAAAGAGGAGAAGGTTCAATATTCCGTGTAATGAGTGCGGCACGCCTAAACGCGGGTGAGTCTTCCCCAATTATAAGCCGCTCGGCCAAGAAGTCGCGGAAGCTGAGAAAAAAGTATAATGTAGAGGTTGGAGAAGAAGAATGGGCTTACTACTATTAGTGGGTGAAGAGGTGCATTGAGCGTGGCAGTGTTTGCAATGGAAACATTAGAACTTGTTCCAAAAAGTCGCCAAAAACGCGGAAAAAAATGGGATGGAGGGTAGGGGAGGAAGGATAGGTGGGTGATGCGCCGAAGTGGGGCGGAGTGCTAAGAAAAGAAATAGAAAATTATCGATGCGCTGATTGTTGCCAGCGCACTCCCGTATACATCCGCGAATGCGTGCGCCCCGTCAAACCTGGTATTACAATACTATATATATGAAGTGATGACTTACATCATAACCTAACTGCGGTGGCACCTGGTCAAGAGCAGAGGGCTCCCGGAGCAATTTTCGTCGGCTGAAGCGTCACCTATTACATATTGGCACACTTACCTCCAACTGACCAATCCTCTTCATAGAATTTTTGTCCCGTAATCCCACAAAGGGTTCAAATCGGCCGTGGCAGGGGACATTGCCCCTTCTCGGATGGATAAGGCGGCGTTCATACCGCACTTTTTTGGAGTCGGCGGTAGTTAACGCAAAAGTGAGCGGCCAGCGCTGCAAGAATGGTGCGAAAAAGTATGCTGGACCTGCCTAGGATCGACTCTCAGGAAGTCAGCCTAAAAAGGCTTTGTGTGTTATGGAAACCTCCACCAGTTTAACTTCTAGTGGTCGATAAACTACAATGATATTTTCGGGCAAAAGATTCGTTCTACTTAGCGAACATTTTTCATGGAAAGTTTTTTTTTGTACAAAATTAGATGTGCACACTTTTGAAAAACGGCAAAATCTTCAAAAATAGAAGCGGTAGCCTACAAAGTTTCTAAGTATAGTTGAGCCATTCTGGCTTGGCACTGCTTATAATGGGGTTTTGATACATGTCTTGCATGATTTTCCAACTAGCGAAATTGGCACCGACGTGTAGGTTCACTTGTTGATTATTACTCTTTGTTCAATGATGTAGGAGACCGCGAACCCGAATACGCTCTACGTTGGTCAAATAAAGGACGAAGTCTGAGGAATTCGGTTCCGGCTTGGCCAATCAAAAGCCGTTGCGTTTAGCATGTTTCCAAGTGGAATGTGTCAGGCGGACCTCCCCTACAAAACAAGTGATGCTTGCGCAACGCATTGAACTTTCTCGAATAAGGTTGTAGGCGGGACTCAAGCCACCTCATTATAATCCTTAGTCGTCTAGCCTGACATGTTTGCGAGCGAACTTCAATTGTCCCCCTCTCTTTGGAACAACCCCAGACCTTGATGACAACTTCCGAATTGTCGTTCCGAGCACATCCTCGGGTCGCAACCAAAGTTCTCTATCCACAAAATCAAAAGACCACACCCGACATAGTTAAGGAGTAGGCTTCTTTGCTGCCAGCGAGTGCGTTATGGAAAAAAAAAATTTCTACTCGAAAGTCTTGTATACTAATTTTACCATCTCCACGAAAATCGCTGTCCGTGTGGGTTCGGGTATCAATTGTTGTGCTCTTTTTTTGAGTGGAATTTCAACCGTGCCTGAACCCGCCATTCATATACTGAAGGCTTCTTCCATCTTCTTTTGTGTCGTGTGCATCAATGATTGATTGAGACTCCGATTGGTCTTTTTTAAGATTGGCGGATATCATGTTATGCGTGTAAGGTTGAATAGTACGAAAAGAAATAATTTGAGAAATACAAGGCTATTCTTTTCCTATTTTGAACAAGTAGCGATTCGAGAACAACCCTCAGTCAAGGTCGAGAGCGTTAGCTTCAATGATTTCGGGATTTGCTCTCCAAACCGTACGACGACGGCATTACTGATTGGACGTGCTATTATCGCCGATAGAAGGCTCAGAGCATGGGGAACGCCTTTCTGTGTAGGTCTTCTTCAGAAAAAACGCTTGCCGTGAAGAGGAATGTGCCAGAATAAGTAAGCGAAAGGAGAAGTCAAATAGGTTAGGAAGTCGATGAAAAAACTTAATCTGCCTTCAGGATCGGGTCCACATACATTTTAGATAGAGAGAAAAAACTTCCCCATGAAAAATAGTTTCGCTAATTGAGAACGAAAATCTTTTTGCGGAGATGTCATTGTAGGCTCATCTACCACGTAGGAGTTCAATGGTGGAGGTTTCATAACACAAAAAGCCTTTAGCTGATCTGAGAATCGACCTACCCGGGTGTCCACTTACTTTCTGTAACGTCAACTGTCTAGTCAAGATGGGGAGAGGGGAAGCGGGAGCAAACGCATTTTTAATGGGAAAAAAGCAACAAGACCACGAAACGTGATGTCATAATCCATGCGGTAAGGGTAAAGCCTCGGAAGCAACGGTGATCCAGTTCTTCGCAAGGAAAGGAAGCATTCGGGTACGTAAAAGGTGGAGCGAAATGGGTCCATGCACGCGGAGAATTGTCTCACGCTGCAAAACATTTAACGAATTCCTGCAGGCGCGCCGGCAAATTCGGCAACCAATATACCCTGTATAAAGAACCCTATCCTTTTTTGGCCTCTTGATTTCTGGCGCCCGGACAAAATTTCTGTCGGTGGTGATCCATCATAAGATGATTACGCTTCGTCCCGTTTCAAGAATGTTGCTTGGATAAACGACAAATTAGTCCCAGAATTATGAGACTTCCCTATCAAGACGAACAGAAATATCGAGAATGATCAGTAAAAAGGTGAGGCAAATATGGCTTCAAAACAGGTCATCACAGTAAAAAAAAAAACAGTCGCAGGTGAAATTCGAATAAACCAACAGTGTACAAACTGAAGCAGGCGCATACCTATTGGCTCCATGACGACTTCTCATGAATTCGAGCTGTAGACGTAATTCAATTCACAGGCAATATAGAAGGATTGTAACCATTTTCAAAACCATCCACCTACTTTATCACAGATTTATTACACGAAGATCATACTCTCTTGCTAAGATCGCTCTCCATTTCAAATAAATGTTGTTCAAGGAAGGCACCGAAATAAAGAGGTAAAGGAATAGTGGCAGCATGAAACAAGGAATGAGCATCAAAAACCCAAAACACAGGTGCAAAGTCCAGAGTTTCGAGAAGCACTGAACCATTTGCCCACATGAGCAGTCCTATTAACATTCGATCAGATCGCGATATTTGCCCAAGTCTTCTCCATCGAATGGCAATATACATGAGGTACATCATTGTAGTAAAGATAGATACACCAATACAACAACGCATGTTGTAACCATAGTCGAAGTGCTGCTGCAAAGTACTGTTCAAGATCAGTAGATGGAAAGTGGTGAAGTCAGCAACTCTTATTGTTCACACGGTGGTGACAGTACACGTTTTGACTTTTAGGCGCGTAAGACTAGCGCGACCACGCCGGGCAGCCAGCTCACCTCACATGCGGATATTCTGACTGAGTGATATTGCACGAATCATTTACGTTTGGTCGAAGCCTTCTAGGAAATTTGAGATTTACTTGGGGGAACATATGCAGTTGAGAATCCGATCAAAATTTTTACTAATTTTGCTAGGAGGACCTACGTATTGAATACATTCGCTAATCGATATAAGTGTGGTATTTATATAATTAATACTTTGACTATTTTCTATTTTTTTTCTCATGTTGATGAGAAAGCTCAAACGAGCAGAAAACCAAAGGCGTACATTTCGGGAGCTGTAAAGCGTCTGTTACGATGCACATGAAGATATTGGAATACGGTTGACGATGTTGTTTTTACGTATGTTTAGGTGGGTGTGGATAGAAAATAACACAAGCAGTGGGAGAAGATCGCGTAAGCGCAAGTAAAGGGATGAAGTGGGTGGGTAGACTCGTATCAGTGATATGTCTTATGGCAGCACTCCAGATTCGTGCGGTCCGCACCGAGAATACCGGCTTCGATCTGGATAGCTGGAACTATGTTATGCGACTTACTCTAGCGTGGAAAGTTGTAGAGTAGTCGACCCGAGTAGGAGAACAAGCCCATCCTGCGCAGTCTCACTGCGCATATGAGCATTCAATTCAATTTCACGATTTCTAGGCTTTTTAAAATTGAATTTCTAAGTTAGCGTCGAAACCGCGACCACCGTGATGTGTCGTTTACAGCGTTTGATTCTCCCTCCCTCCTATTTACTCGCGTTACTTTATCAGAATCTCTTGACAGAGACACTGTTTGTGGAGATCATTAGCTGGAACACCGCCGTATTCGATGTGATGCGCATTCAAAGATCAACATTATTCATTCGTTTGCTAGTTTCTAGTCTTCTTTTTCCCACTTTTTCAGTATCGAGTTATGGATGAGTGTACGAAAGAAATTGCGAACCGTTACAGATTAGAACTTCGACGCGCTCCAGAAAATTGTTGAACAGGCCTAGACCTTCAATTTATATACACTGGTGTGCAAACTTGAGAGACGAACGTAGTTTTCAGCCGTGTTATGGCGAGAAACATAGCGTGTGGAACTAACCAAATGGAAAGAGGGCTGCTAGCAGCGTCAAGTACGAAAGCAATCAACAGGAATTTGAATGGCACAGAGCTATCAGAAGTTGTTTTTTCATTTATTTGTCCTTAGTTTTTGCCCACCAGTGTAGTGCACGTTTGAAATAGATAATTCATATTCTTTTTCTATGCTTTCTTGTGAGCTATGAACCATTAGTATTCGTGATAATTTGATCACAGAATCCAGCATTTCATTTTCATTTCACGCATGTCACTCGAACCACAGGACCCTCCAGAGTTTAAACCCCCGAAGTTGCATACATTGTGGGCTCACGAATTCCTCACTTTGCACTGATACATCACTGTTTTGCTGAGAAGGTGCAGACAAGCAGGTCGCGTCTTCGCCGAAACCATTCCCCAAGTAAAGCTGTATTCTTACTACTTTTGCTACGTTTCAGTTTTGACTGAAAATGCGCATTGTGAGACAAGTTGACGCGAGCCTACGCGTCAGTCAAATCGTGCCCACCAATTCTCATGTTCCACGCGGCGAATAGAGCAAAAACCTGCGCTGTCGTCCATGTATAGAATGGAAAACGTACATGCTGCGATTTTTTTTGGATTTTCGAAAAGGTTTGTTCAACACATATTTTGACATGCACAAAAAAGTCGTTAATTCTTCAAAATGATCTGGTATGCTGGAAGAAAGCGAAGGCATGAATTGACAGCTTGGTTCACTCGTCCACTTTTTCATTAACGATCTTAAGTATAGAACTATTAGATTGTCTCAGAAGTTAGTGCGTATTTCTAGATCTCATGCCACAAGCTCCTTCAGCAAATTTAAATTACGTAGGCTGTCGAGAGTGCTTAACGCGTAGTAACTTATAACCGAATCATGCCCACCCTAGCCGCCTTCTTTGAGCTCAAAGTGAGAAAAGAAAAGAGCATGTTTCTCGCGCTCTGACTCAGAACCTCTACTGAGCCGTAAACCGATTGAGCCCGTAAGTAACACCTGCTTAGCGATATCATCTCTTTGTCATTGCCGCCATGGAGTTATCAAAACGAATGGATTTTCTTCGCTCATAAAACACAGCCTGGAGAGAAGCCCTCGTTCAGGAGGGTCATCGGTGTCGTATTTGGACAAGCGGCGCTCTCTCGTTGGAGACATTCCAGACGGGATAACACCTTGGTGTTTCAGATGCACAGTTCGTAGAAGTTCTCGTTTCTTCAAGAAAGGGTTGAATTTGCAAAAAATTGGCCCATGAATTGATCACTGATAACAGGAGTGGTTTGAGCAGCCAATACTGCAGTTGGGTAGCTTGCTGTTTTAATTACAACTCCGCCAAAGCCGCCAGTGGTTGGATGGAGCGACTAAGGGGTGAAAAAGGAAAATTCCCCGCTCACACTGTGCATGCTCCGGCTTGGTTGTGAGCATTCTCGGTTAACCCGTGAAAAGCTTTCCCACTCCAATTGCAGCTATGAAGTCAGTCCCAAATCTAGTTATGAATCGCACAAGCTCACGGCCGAACTCCAGCATAATATCCCTCAAAAATGCAAGCCTGTCGCGCTCTCACGATCAATCGAGACCGATAAGCCGTTCGCAGTGACGCGACGTAGATAGCTTACGAATTAGATGAGTAGTCTACCAATATCCGTCGGCAGAGATGAGCCTTCTTTCAGAAGGACCCTGACTCTTCTTTGCTTTAGCAATCCCAACTAACCTGACAAAAACTGTGATTCCCACTGCACCACTCCAATTAGACCTCACAGCCCTTTTCAGCTCGTAACTGTAAGCCTTCTGGAGTTAAAATGACCACCTCTTTGGATGCATTGGCAACGAAGCTATTTGCGCTATGGAATAGAAGAGGCCTCGAAGAGACGAAGTTCAAAATACGACACGGAACTTTTTGTTGGAGCAACTAAATAATGTGTAAAGCGAAAGGAACGTTCTCACTGGAAGCATTAGAGGGAATCTCGTACGATTGAATTTACAAAAGTTGTATCAATCCTGTATCACTCCCTTGTCCCGTTTTGGCTCCTCAAAAGTGGGAATCCTTGCTCAAACTAGTGGTGAAGATATGGTCGCACCATGGTCCGTCTGTGTAAACGGATCTGACAGCATAAGACGCGTGTGAATGTCTCGCGGGAGAGTGTTAAGTGGATCAAGCGAAAAATCTGAGACGCTGTTGAAGAGAATCCTCGAAACCGATATTCACCTATCCCAGCTCAGAACCCGCTTCGACCACTTCATTTTTTTCACAATTCCGTGTAACCGGCCTCTTCTAGCCTTGTCTCCATTTAGCTCTCATCAGCCTTCTGTGCGCGGCCCTTGCTCAGCCAAACTTTTCGGCCTTTTCGACGCACTTTTTATTTTACATTTCCTCAACTACCAGTCAACCTGCACGCGTGCTTTCATTTTCGCGTGTAGAAAGATAATCACACGACCACGTGTCAAGGATGTCTTCATTAGAGGATTCCAATGATGTAGTTCGAAGAAAGGGAAAACTAATTTTAGTGGAGGGCAAAGAGTCACCTAAGGGTGTGGGAAGACGAAGATATAGATTCGCAGCGAAATTACATGCCCTTGCGACGATCTAATCATGGCCACCCGCGGTGCAATCGACGCGTACTTTTCCAACAACTGACTAAACCAACTGCGCGGCAGTCGCACAGGTTTGTTTGAACAAAGAGGCGCGTTAAGCGTTGGGGCCGGGCACCCACCGATGATCACAGCATGCGGGAAATGATCGAGTAAAGAAGAGGTCCCAATTCTCGTGTTCTAGCCAGGCGTTCTCATGGGTTTTTTTCACTCCGCACCAGTCATCTTCACCTTGTAAGGCAAAGCCCGGACACCACAGCTCGTAAATTCACTCATTAATTGAAAGCTCGAGGCCGATCAGTGGTCCTGAAAAGAAAAAGAAAGCAAGACAAACATGCAATGCGTCCCGAATAGGACTTCTGTATTCTATCGCGTTTCCTCCAAAGCAAAAACATGCGCAGGCGTGAAGCGTGTACTCACCAGCGCAGAAGACGATCAGAAGTCCTTCCGACGGGCTTAATTAGCAGCTGAAGGAACATCAAGCAGACTTGCCCAAGCGTCATTACGCGTACCGATAACGGTCTATTCCGTATAACGACAGGGTCACTGCAATTCGAATGCGCCCAACCTTTTTTCGAATCCGCTCTGTCGTCGTGCATCAACTGCATCTCGGAGGAACGTCCGGGATGCGTAAAGAAATTTTACTTATACCGATGTTCATTTCCTCCTTGCTCTTCAGTACAGCCAAAAAGATATTCGTCCGCAGGACTCGCATCCTTGGCGTACCAAAAGCCGTAACATAAATAAAGTAAACAACGGAATGCTAAGAGAGGAGCAGTTCCGGGTTCCGTGTATATAGTCCACACCCTTCATTCACACTGGAGTTTTTCGGCTGTCGTTACCTCGCACCTTACTCTAACTTGCCGTTGGCGTAGACACCGTTTAATTGGCGCGGACTGCTGAACCTCACTGCGTAAATTCGTCTCATTCACAATATTGATCGTTGATGATCATGATCATCTAACAACTGAAATTGGAGACAACTTTTCAACGTTTAAGTCTCAACTTTCAGTTCATGGACTTGTTATAATCAGTTTTTATGAAAGCTCTAATCCACTCTCAAATTCTAACGAGTAAGAGTCTCGCGAACGAGTCAACCCTGCTTGCGCAGTTTCAATCGGCCACGTTGCGCAGTTTCGCGCATCCGATTAGACACGCTTTCTCTCGTGAACTTCACACTCCATGCTCGAGCCGTCTGCGTCCTCCGCCCCAGCGTGCGTTTGAGGTTCTCTCGACGGCCGTTGCGAACTGCTGCAAGAGCGCGCAACGCAGGGTTTTTGACCCTGCTCGAAGATGGGAATGGTTAGAAACTAAACGAAAATTTATAATTTTCAAAAAGCGAACTTTTTAAAGACAACTCAATTCTCATAAGAAACACACGGTCATTTGAAAATCTCAGCTCAATGAGCCTCACTTGGCAGAAAGCAAGAAATGTTCCAAAGAATTCGAATTGATCTGCAAGTTTTTGGATTCCTGGTAACATCGAAGAGTTGCATTCGAAGCGACGTAGCGAGTGTCAGACCAATTAATATATATCCAAACCGAAATTTTCTGAGTAGTGGAAAGTTAAGGAAGTTAAGCTCGTTTGAAGTTGCTCAATGTTGTTCATGTTCGACAGCGTTTCACTGTTAAACGCGCTTTGCAGCCATGGTCGCTATGTTATGTACCAACTCTTGCTCACGGAAGTCTCCCAGTAATCTTCTCCATCTAGTTGTATCGTCTAATATTTGGCCCGAAAAGAACGACCCCGAAATACTCACCGTCATAGAGTACATCATGTGGTCGCAAACATAAAACAAACAGTGTGCCCATTAAGATCGAGGGACGCTAAAGTACTAAGGAAGAGTTGGCACAAAACCGCTCGAAGAAATTAAGGAAACGTACGTCCCCAGACGCGAGACGCGTGATATAGCCAGCAAGATTGCCGTGAAGCCATGTGACGTATGACGCCGTTAAGTAACGAAAGGCGAACGCCGAGAAATAGTCCACATACTCAAGTGACCAACAATCTCTTGCATGAAAATCGCAGAGAAATCCTTAATCAGCACCTATATTGTTAACGTTTCGAACACGCACGAAAAGCTTAGACCTCAATTGGACATATCAAAACTGTTCCATATCACTAAGTTATTGCTGTGAATGACTAAAAAATGCTAATGGCGTGAAACATGTTTTCGCGAGGCGCCTAACAAAAACTAATCAGCCAAATTTGAACGCGGCTTTCTGTAGCTATACTTCGGTTTTTTGTGAAACCTAATTCAAAGTTTCTTTGTCTCACCACTCGACGGACTGAGAAATCTTTCCCAAACGCAAATTAATATAGGGATAACCAGAGATAGGCTGGGGTGCGTCCCCCAGTTCTCAATGCATCCGGATTTTCACTGTAATGCAGGTAAGGGCTTTTTATTTAGAATGCATCGGTATTTCACTGTATGCTAGGGAGGGCGTTTTTTATTTAGTAGCTGATCTACACTCTAACCACCCCACTGACTGGAATCTTGATGCTCTAGAGACGCTTTTGTCAGAGCGAGTCTAATGTAACAAGAGGACGGTACTGAGACATTTCCATAGGCGCGCAAAGGTGGAGATGCAGTTTGGATCTCACATGTTCTGAGGTCAAATCAGCTAACACTATCAGACGTTCCTGTTGCGTTCTCATGATTCCTTCGACTGACCATCCAGCATACTTACCATTAGTGTAGAGTGGGTGCATATTCTATCAGATCCAAGTGGCAGAAGTCTAGCTTAACCTATCAGCGAGCTCTGAGAGTAAAGCTTGACCTCCTCCAAATCAGATTCTTCAAAGTTATTGGCGGAATACAAGAGTGGCGATGAAGGGGAAACGTAACGCTCAACACTGGCAGGGTCACTGATGAAGGTGAGCGTTATCACCTGACAGCGACTTCAACTTCAAACCGGGCAAGACAAAGTCATCTTTTTTAAGATCGTCGGACCACACCTTGCGGAGAAGATTCATAAAAAATCAAAACTACTGGGTTGACAAATTTTTCAGCTCTGCCGTGTAGCGCTTACCTACCTATAGAAGGCCACCTGCTCTGCTCTCGACCATCCTTCCTCAGCAAGCAAAATTCCGCTATGGCATGATCTCAATGCTGACAAGCGATCTTTCTTTGGTGAGAAATTTTAGGAATTCCATAAAGCAGTGACTTGTTCCCGATGCATAGGAAATGTTTTGGAGATAATGTTGGTGTATACTCGGATGAGAAGCACATTAGAGAAATGATGTAAAAAAATTAAAATGGCCAAAGTGGTCCACTAATTATGGGACAACCTAATATTACTACTTCAACCATAAAGGAAATAATAATTTGAATGGTTGACATACCAAGCAATCATGCCAGTTATTGTGTACCAAATCCAAACGCGACTGCTATCTAATTTATACATGAATTTGAGCCGGACGTAAAGCAAATAGGAAGAGTAGAAATTAAGTAAAGAAAAGATGAATGAAGCCGGTTCCTGAAATACTAGTCAATACATTCGCATCTTATCATCCGTGATGTATTAGGTCGGTCCATAATTTTTGAGAACCTTTGGTGTTTTTCGATTTAATTACTTATCTTATTTCTCTGATGTACTTATTCAGCATAGTATACATCACCATTATTACCAACATATAATCAATGCGACGGTAGGTGCTCAACGTCTCTCTTGCAGAATTTCATAGAGTTTTGATCGAAGAAATTTTGAATGTCGATTTTGAGTTTGTGGTGATTCAAGTGAGATTTCTTCTCCAGAAGGTGATTGAGAGAGGAGAGCGGATAGTCGTTCGTTGACGCAGGATTAGTGCTACAAGGCGGAGCTAAAAGAACTGACCGCCCGAGAGTCTCTAATTTCTTAGCAAGGCGGGCTCGAACGACCTCAGAGAAAAATAGATTTTGTCTTCCTTTGCTTTCAGGTCGAAGGCGTTGCCATCAAGCTGTCAACGATTCTTCCCATCACTGACACTGGTATTAGTTGATGCCGGTCTTCAGCGCAAAGGCCCTCCCGTATTGCGCCAACGACTCAGGAAGTTCGAATTCAGAGGGAGTTGAGTTGTTACTGTCAGAACTCCCGAATCGTTTAAGTAAATCTACAGCGGCTCGTGGATTTGTAAGCACACTGAACCCAGTCCACATCGTCAATAAGTATTATAGATGGTCATCCGAAGGAACTATGGGAAATCAACAGGAACTTGATGATGTCAGATTGGATGAGAACTGATTCGGGGCTACAATTTTCCTTCGGTCAGAACTCTATGAAAGTCCACAATAGAGGCACTGAGAACCCAACCTCGCATTGGTGATATGTTGTTAATGATAATGATGTATACTATGCTGGATAAGTGGATCAGAAAAATAAGATAAAAAATAAATCGAAAAACACCAAAGGTTCTCAAAAATTGTGGACCGACCTAATAGGACTACCTGAATTATCAGATCCACAACTGTCGGTACATTGATGTCAACGGCAATAAAGGGCCACTTTCCATGAAACTGCGGAACGAATCCCTCATGTTTCATGAACACTTCAACCGTATTCCACATGCAGTCATATCGGCAACTGAAGATGCGTGATTCCAGCCTTTAGATTTCTCAATGAACTCGACTACACACCGAAAACAAGATCTCCTTGACCACTTGCAGCTATCAAAACGTTCCGGACATGAGTGAACCTTCCGGCACTCGTCGGTACAGACGCGATAAGGCCATGAGGTATCCCCGACAGAACCATATACCTGATATATCAGATAGCCAAACAACAGCACATTTTCTAACCAGTTCATCCACTGACGAACTCTCCGACAAACAAACTTCCAGTGGATTCTTTTTTACCTGCAACAGAGCGAAATACAAACTCGCCTGAATGAAATGAAACCGCCAAGTAAGTGCACACTCGGAATAAGTACGCAATTAAGGCGAAGGAAGAAAACATGTAAAGAAATTTATTAACCAAACTCCACGATAATATTATCACAGAACATCTGTACAACTCATATATCTTAATTAATCTATTACAATGGACTTTCGCGGAGTAAATACATTCAAATATATTGAAAATCGGCAGCATAGCTACATAGAAAAGTCATTTACCCGTTCTCATGAAATAGGTGAACAATGATGAGGAAAGAACAACGAACGGAGCATTCGTTTTAGTTATACAACGAATTGTTATTGACATATGTATGGCCTGCTTTAGCTGAGCAAAATCATCCAAAGAACAATTAGGAAAAACCACCTCTACTAGATCAATAGTCTCATAGGCACAATGAATCACTGCCGCACCTGCCGGCTATGCGTTCGAACTCCGAGAAGCAATCATAGTAAAAACTGTACGTTAGCAGTCACAGTACCATAGAGAGTCGCATGATTGCGCTATCATTTGAAAGACTTGACTGAATTTCTTTGTAGTTAAGAGCTTAAACGTCTGACAAAACACTAGGATGGCTTATTCCGATAGTCAACATGTAGAATATGGGCGGCACTGGAACAAATAATAGCGACAGAAAGCTCACAACTGAGTCCCTAAAAAGAAAGCAGGTAAACCATATCCGTGTAAACAACGATGATTTAAATTTAATCATTAGTAAAAGAAGGGGTTTGAAACGAGGAAAAAGTGGAAACGGTTGAGTGGTATGAACTATGAATTATCCCCAGGATTTTATAGGATAAGATCGCACCTGACACCTTAATTTTTGTGGTTTAAGCACTGCCGAGAAACGCAGTAAAATAAGCAAGAAACGAAAATTAATAGTGGGAATAGAGGTTTATAAAAAGAAATAGGTAAATATAAGAATCTGTTTGCAGCTTGCGTAAGAACTGCAACGTTTTGAACTTGCTACTCTTCACTACATACGCCGGAGACTACAGTTATAAGCCGCAATCACGAAACAAAGGTAAGTACGGTCATGCGATCGCGTGGTCACCAGCTACACCCACACAAGGTTACCCGATAGAACGATATTTTTTGAATCACTGACCCATTTATCTACCTATGCGCTCAAAGGACGCACTATATTTACGGTGTAATGCATTGTTAAGAAAAAAATTACTATCAATAAGAGAATAGCAGTCGAAAACATGAACTTTCTCTTGTTCCTCTCATCGTTGCTCAACTGTAGCTAGGAACTGTCAAAGCAGCCAAAAGAAGCGAGCAATATCCTGATCCATTTCCCCTTATTGAGAACAGTTCGAAATTTGAATCAGGTTTTCTAACTTCTTACTGCTCTTTAGTTATTTTTCGACACGAATAAACAGTAGACTTGGAGCGCTGAATGGTGTAAGAATTAGTTGAAATATTTGATATCACCAAATAAGCTTAGAGGTATTGAGAGGCCCTTACTGAACTAGGCATAACTAATTCTGGCTTTCAGTCACATGGGATAGTTTTGAAAAAGCTCTGAAGAGTCGATAAGGGTGTCGCAAAAAGTCGCGGTCTTGAAGGCCTTCGGCCTTTCTTCTGTCTTCTTTCTCTAACAAAAACAAGAACGCATCGTACGTTTTTCGTACGGAATGCGACGTGCATATGTAGAACGGATCCTCGCAGTAACCAATGAACCGCGCTTAGTAAGTATTCGATTTCAAATAGGTTCAACAAAAAATTTACAAGATGAGACCGACGTCATAGTCAGCGACGGAACAAGCGATGGCACGATCGCTACATCTGTGTCAGTCCTTGCCAAATGCGATGCACCCGCAGAGGCCCAACCCGCAAAAAAAATCGCTAGCTAAGTACTCTTTATTATGCCCGAAACCGTCCTACTCACTAGACCTCTTTACCTATTCACTGCCCATTTTTCACCCGTCTAGATAGTACCTTAAGAGAATCTACGGATCTAACATTCGCTGGAGCGATCCTTTATCACCAAACTCCATTACTTTCAGAGAATAGATTGATCAAATTCATCTGATATTGGCAAAGAAGGTCACATAATAATAGTTTTCACTTTGCGAAAATGTTGTGTGAGTCGAGATATGTACATTTCGAACCTCAGGGTCCTGAAGCGCAGAAACTTTCCTAAACCTAGGTTATTGGTGCTATAGCCGGACAAATTGAACGTTACAATTGCAGTGTCGGTAACTGTAAAAAGTTGAAAACATCGCAGAAAGTGAAACTTACTTTGAGCCGAGATAGCCAGCAGAGAAATGCCAGGAGAGTCAATGTTGGACCCGTAACCATCCACCATGTCATCGCGAGTGGTGCGAAACGCCCCTGCCCGGGGAAACTTCTACATGAGAACGGAACTTTGCATAAGATTATATATAGAATATTTAAAACCAAAAATGTACATGTCCATGTCCTTAAGAGTAGATAAGAGTGTTCCGCTCCTTGTTGTCCGTTTAAGATTTCTGTCGTACCTGTCTATTTCGCCAAATACAAAATTTTCACTCTATCATGTTAGCACTATAATGAGCTAAGTATGTCTGTTGTCTGTATGTGTTAATCTAATAGTTTATTAGGGATCACTGCAATGTGAAAGGGTAACGCGTGCTAAGCTAGGCGAGGGAGCAGCGAAGTGTCGGAGAGAGAGCAAATGTTAGACGGTGGGAGAGTGCATGCGATAGAAGGGTCGGTGTTACGAGCTTTAGGGAGAGAGACTGTGAGAGAGAACGGCGATTGCGAGCGTTAGGCTAAGGTAATGTGAGTGATCCACTATGGAGCGAGGGAGGGGGGGGGGGTGGTCGTGGCTGGTGTTTTTCGAAGACGCCAAGAGCAGTGTGGAGCGCGCCGTAGCGAGCGGTGCTGTCTGGTAACATAAATTTGTTGTGACAATAATTCACACTGTTTGTGCAGGTGCACATGGCAACAGGAATTTTTTTTTATAAATCATTTCCTACCGAACGATACGAAGAAAGCTTTTCAATGGGTACACCGCGTAAGACTAACTCATGACTACTACAACTGAATTACAACAAAGTGAGGGAAGAAAATTCAAAACCCACTTGTAATCTCCTTCATCGATATTTTGCCTTCTGCAGCTAAATGCACTGCATTTGCGCATAAACTCCACAACATCACGATATACGGATACGATTGATAGAGCACACCAGCCTTCAAATAAATAAAGTCAAAAGATCCTGTTGTAGTAGTAAGTTTCAACCTACCAAAAGGGCATGTATGACTGCAATCTTAGGGATAGACAGGAGAGCATAATAAAATGCTTTCGCATCTCTGTTTCGCTTCAAAACGAAAATGTATAGTATCGAGCGGCAGCACAGAACAGAAAATAAAAGAAACAACAGATACACAAACGGTAGAGAATATCTAAATGGAGTATTACAAAATAAAAGCTGCCTGAGAAGGAAATCGCTCAAAAATTCGGAAACCAACTCACAGAGGAAAAACCACTTCATAAGAACACCGCATCGGTTTAACATGATTAATTATAGGGTTGTATAATTCAGGATACCTGAAGGAAGGAACTAAATACAGGAAGAAATATTCTTCTACCATTCTTTTATTAGGGGTTCGAACTAGAAAGCACCAGATGTTGCTTGCCAGCTTGAACCCTGCAATATAGAGCAAACCAAGCATCTGCGAGATCGGCAACTTCTTCTGAAAGCTAACTCCGTAAAGGTTGAAGAAGAAATTGGAAAACGGCCGTTTCTTTTACAACTACCTAAAGCAAGCCGCTTCATCTAGGTCTTTTTGATAAGTGAGAGTCCAAACGGTACACGATTCACAACTTATGCACTGGCTTGATAATCTACCTAATATGACCTCTTGCTCCTTATAGCTCTAAGAAACGCTAACTAGGGCGACAACTTTTAGAATTTTGAACGCTTTTACTTGGGAAATTTCTACGGTACATATAATCATGGCGGAGCCAGCAAAGTACATCACAATATCACTTCCACATTCCCTTGTAGAAGTAGTAGAGGAAATTTGATCGAAGATCCGCCGGCATACCCTACTTCCGTTAAACCGATTGCACGGTCGCACCATTGACCCATGATCAGACGTATCTACTCTACACATATTCGAGCTTCAAGATCTCGAGTATATCACAGTCTGAGATCCATGGGTTTATCAACAAAGGATTCCCCTCTAATGACAATCCCTTTCATTCGATTTTACATTTTCATGACCTCGATCCGATGCCACTTCTACCAAGACAGCATACCTGACTACTTCGGGCCAATTCGCCTATCGCCGAAAGGCAGCTCTGTGCTACGAATGGGACCACAAAGAGCACAGAAGTGCACGCAATTACGTGCTGACCGTTGTTATTTTCTTTCAGGGTCCAGGGCTGCATACTAACAGTCGTATTACAAGTGCAGTGAAAATTAGCAGCAATTGACTTTGATGCCAAGGAAATCTCAGCCGATTTACCACATTTACCTCCTTTTTCATAAAGCTATGCGCCACAATGGCAAATGAACACGCAGCGTCACTGCAGAATCACTTTATTCATCAGTACTTCCATATTTAGAGGATATATATTGCGGGATTGCAGAGAGGGATGCCGATGATGCTTACAAAGTAGCATAAAAAGTGCTGAGACTTTCTAATAGGGTGGTACATTGGTTCCAAGTAACGAGAATGCAATCCTCGGATAACTGAAGAAGCGGCACATTACGCCTTGAAAGGAGTATTCCTATTGACATTTATCGTTTTGATACTGCGCAAATTAGGAGCAAAAAGAAAAAGGAAAGAAGTTCATATGCCATGTTATGTCAGAATACCTAGTACTGAGAGAGGAAATTCACTCACACTCCTTAATGCTCGATCGAGCCACATCCATTACAGTGAAAGAAAGTCTCTGCGGAAGACCAGCACAGCAGCAACTGACGCAATGCATACATTCGAGAATACAAGCATAGTGTTCACACAACTCGTGCACAGTGACCTGGAGGAAAGATTGTCTCACATTTCAAGCAAAAAGGATCATGGATGGTTACGAACTTCTTTGAACTTGCCTAAATAGTGCGCGAATGAAGAGTAAACACATTAGACGGCGGCGCACGCGCACATGGTTCGGGGGGGGAGGGAGGGGCAGCCGCAGCGCGCGGCGATGCGGCAACAGGAAATTCGTGAGCCAGGGGTGTAAGCAAGGGGGTCTGGGCAGAGCAAACCCTGCGTTTGCCGTTTCAACGGCCCGTTGCGCAGTTTCCCCTAGACACGTTCTCTCGCGCGAACATTCACACTCGCATGCTCGAGCCGTCGGTGTCTCCGCCCATACAGCGTGCGCTGAGGATCTCTTGACGTGCCGTTGCGACTGCGCAACGCGAGGGTTGACTCTGTCTGGTGTGGGGGCAATCGCTCTAGGCTGCTTCATATGTTGCAACTCGGTGCGGTCGGTGCCGACGGTGACCGACGGCGCCGACGGCGCGACCGCACCGACAGTGTTAAAGAGCGTCACACGCGCGCTGGCGATGACGCTTGCTCTGGGCGCAGATGGGGCGCTCCTGTCGATAAATCTGGTTTGAGGTATTCTCGTATTTTTCGATGTTTTGCACTCAACTTCATCTGAAATAAACAAAATTGCTTACGATCAACACACCCGGTATGGCCCAGCCACCCGGATTGTGCGACGGTTCACGACGTCGCTCGCCCGCCGAACAACCGGAAATTATTAAAAGTCAATAAAGGCGCAATGTGGCTCGGAGGAGGCAGCGTCCCGGGCGTGTGTGCCAACAGGAAACCGCAAGCAGGTGGATGGGCCAATTCAAGTGGGGGGCGGGTGAGGGCAGTCATTAGCATGCGTGAGAAGCTGAAATTTCCCGTGCAAAAAGCTGGAATTCAAGTTTACACTACATCGCTGAGCCGCGCACCGATTCCCCCCCCCCCCCCCCCCCGAGCCACATTGCGCCCATAAAAGAATAAGATGAACAGAAACACCGAATTTAAAAAAAACGAAAAAACCGCGAAAAAACATCGAAAAGCACAAGAATACACCAAAACCAGGATATCGATCAAAGCGCGCGATCTGCGCCCAACGTTCGCGTCATGGCCAGAGTGCGTATTGACGCTCTTCACACTGTCGGTGCGGTCGGCACCGTCGCACCGACCGCACCATGCGAACTATGAAAGTCAGCCTTAGAAGCGTGAGAAGTGGAAACTTCGTTATGAGAGAACTCTAACGTTGGAAATACACTACATCGCAGAGTCCGCGCGCCGCGACTCCCACCTCCCGAGCCACATTGCGCCGCAGGCGCCTACCGTAGCTTACGGTGCCCAAGCGCAAAATTACGAGGCCGGGGCGAATAAGGGCAATCGAGGGGGAGGAGAGAGCGGTCCCGCGTTGTCGGTTACATCGTATCGCATGCTCGAGCGGCGCATCAAGGCAGTCATATTGACTGATATAAATAAGTCTAGGCATGTCAAAAGAGAATATTACATATATATAAGACATAAAATATGACAATGCAAATTAGATATAGAGATAATAGCGAAGAACTAGATTAAGAAAGGAAACCGACCACAAAGCGGGACCGCTTTCTCTCCTCCCCCTCGATTGGCCCTTATTCGCCCCGGCCTCGTATTTTGGAGCTGGGCACTCGTAAGCTACGGTAGGCTGCGTCGGCAATGTGGCTCGGGAGGTGGCAGTCGCCGGCGCCGCGGACTCTGTCGATGTATTGTATTTTCCAACGTTAGAGTTCTCCACTAACCGAGTTCCAATTCTCAACGCTACTAAGGCATGCTTTCATAGTTCGCATGGTGCGGTCGGTGCGACGGTGCTGGCGCACCGACAGTGTGAAGAGCGTCAATACGCACTCTGGCCAATGACGCGAACGTTGGGCGCAGATCGCGCGCTTTGATGATATCCTGGTTTTGGTGTATATCTTGTGTTTTTCGAATGTTTTTTCCGCCGTTTTTTATCGTTTTTTTTTAAGATTCGGTCGTTCCTGTTCTACTTTATATCTTTTTATGGCGCCAATTGTGGGCTCGGGGGGGGGGGGGGGGGGGAGACTCTGGTGGCGCGCTCAGCGATGTAGTGTAACTTGAAATTGCCAGCTTTTTAGCACGGCGAAATTGTCGCTTCTACGCATGCTAAATGACTGCCCTCACGCCCCCCCCCACTTGAATTTGGCCCATCCACCTGCTTGCGGGGTTTCCTGTTTGCACATACGCCGCGGGACGCTGCCTCACTTCCGCGCCACATTGGCCTTTTTTGACTTTTAATACTTTCGGTTGTTCGCGCGGGCGAGTCGACGCTCGTGACCGTCGCACAAACTGGGATGGCTGTGGCATAACGGGTGTGTTGAATCGTAGAAGCAATTCTTGTTTATTTCAGATGAAGGTGAGTGCAAAACATCGAAAAATACGAAGAATCACCTCAAACAAAGATTATGACAGGAGCGCTCCATTGCGCCCAGCGCAGCGTCTCGCCAGAGCGGTGTGACGCTCTTTAACACTGTCGGTGCGGTCGCGCCGTCGGCGCCGTCGGAACCGTCGCCGCGAGCACCGAATTGCAAATATGAAGTCAGGCCTAGAGCGATTGCCCCACACCAGACGAAGTCAACCTGCGTTGCGCAGTCGCGAACGGCCACGTCAAGAGATACCTCAGCAGCACGCTGTAAGTGGCGGAGACTACCGACGGATCGGAGCATGCGAGTGTGAATGTTCGCGGCGGAGAACGTGTTAGGGGAAACTGCGGCAACGTGCCGTTGAAACGGCAACACGCAGGGTTGTCTGCCGCCGACCCCCTTGCTTCCCCCCTGGCTCACGGAATTTCCTGTTGCGCATCGCCAGCGCGCTGCGGCTGCCCTCTCCCTCCCCCACCCGAACCATGTGTCGCGGTTGGAGCCGCCGTTCTAATGTGTTACTCTCCATTGCGCACTATTTAGGCAAAGTTCAAAGAAGTTCGTAACATCCATGATCTTGTTTGTTGAAATGTGGGAGACACTCTTTACCTCCAGGTCACTGTGCCGAGTTGTGTGAACACTATGCTGTATTCTGCGAATGATATGCATTGCGTCAGTTGCTGCTGTGCTGGTATGATCCGCACGAACTTTCTTTACTGTTATGGATCGTGCTGATCGAGCATTAAGGAGTGGTGAGTGAATTATCCTTCTCAATAACTAGGTATTCTGACATAATCATGAGCAATGAAACTTCTTTCTTTTCCTTTTTGCTCCTAAATTATGCGCAGTATAAAACGGATAAATGTCATAGGAATACTACTTTACAAGGCGTACTGTGCCGCTTCTTCAGTTATGCGAGGATTGCATTATCGTTGAACATGTCACGCTGAAGCCAATGTACCACCCTATTAGAAAGTCTCAGCACTTTTAATGCTATTTGTAAGGCATCACTGCATCCTCTCCTGCACCCGCAATAATATATCCTATAAATATGGAAGATACTGATGAATAGCTGATTCTCGCAGTGACGATGCGTGTTCATTTGGCCATTGTGGGCATCTTTATGAAAACGAGGTAAATGTTGGTAAATCGGCTGTAGATTTCCTTGGCATCAAAAGTCACTAATGCTAGCTATTTTCACTCACTTGTAAATACGAAACATGTCTAAATATGCGAGCCCTGGACCCTGAAAAGAAATAACAACGGTCAGCACGTAATTCGTGCACTTTCCTGTGCTCTTTTGGTCCCAGTTGTCGTAGCACAGAGTTGGCATTTCGCGATAGGCGAATTGGACGGGAAGTAGTTCAGGTATGACTGTCTTGGGTAGAAGTGGCTAATGGATCGAGTCTGCAAATGTAAAATCGAATGAAAGGGATTGGTCATTAGAAGGGGAATCCTTTGTTGCTAACCCCGATGGATCTCAGACTAGTGGATATACTCGAGATCTGAAGCTCGAATATATGTAAAGAGTAATACGTCGATTTTATGGCCGAATGTTGGACCGTGCAATCGGTTAATACGGAAGTACGGTATGGCGGCGGATGTTCGAGTCAATTCCTCTACTACTTCTAACAGGGTAATGTGCTCGTGATTTTGTGATGTACTTTTGCGCCCCTGTTTTCGCACATGATTATATGTACTGTAGACAATTGTCAAGTAAAAGTCGTTCAAAAATTCTAAAGTTGTCGCCTAGTTATCGTTCTTAGAGCTTAAGGGGCAAGAGGTCATATTAGGTCAGATTATCAAGCCAGTGAATAAGTTGTGATCGTGTAACGTTGTGGACTCGTCCTTATTATCAACAAAGACTAGATGAAGCGCTTGCTTAGGTAGTTTGTAAAAGAAAGGCCGTTTTCCAATTTCTTCGCTCAACCTTTACGGGAGTAGCTTAGAAGAAGTGCGCTGATCTGCAGATGCTCGGTCGCTCTTAATATTGCAAGGGTTTCTGAGCTGGCAAGCAACTTCTGGGCTTCTCTGTTCGCACCCTAATAAAAGATGGTAGAAGCAAATTTCTTCTGTATTTAGTTTACTTCGTTCAGGTATCCTGCATATATACAACCTATAATTAATCATGTTACACGCGTGCGGTGTTCTTATGATGGTTTTCTCTTGAGTTGTTTCTCGAATTTTTGAGCATTTCTCTTCTCCAAGGCCAGCTTTTATTTTGAATTACTCATTTAGATTTTCTCTACCGTATTGTGTATCTGATTGTTTCTTTTTATTTTCTGTTCTTGTGCTGCGCTCGATACTATACATTTTTGTTTTGAAGGAAACAGAGATGCGAAAGCATTTTATTATGCTCTCCTGTCTATCTAGATTGGAGTCATAATACCTTTTGGTAGGTTGAAACATTACTTATACAGACAGGATCTTTATGACTTTTATTTAATTTGAAGGCTGGTGTGCTCTATAATCGTTATCCGTAATATCGTGATGTTCGTGGATTTTACTGCGCAAAGCAGTGGCATTAGTGCAGAAGGAAAATATCGATGAAGGAGATTACAGTGGGTTTGAATTTTCTTCCCTTTGTAATTCAGTTGTAGCTACTATGAGTTAGTCTACGCGGTGCACGCCATTGAAAAGCTTCTTCGGTATCGTTCGGTAGGAAATGATTTAAAAAAAAGTCTCCCCTGTTGGCCATGTGCACTGCCAAACAGTGTGAATTATTGTCACACACAAATGTTATGTTACAGACAGCATCCTTCGGCTACGCGGCGGCACACTGCTGCTTGCGTCTTGAACAAACGCAGCGACACCAGCCCCCCCCGCCCTGCTCCATATGATTCTCCACATTACTTAGCCGTAACGCTCGCAATAGCGGTTCTCTCTCACAAATTCTCCCTAGAAAGCTCTGGTTGTACCTCCGACACTCACTATCGCATGCACTCTCCCCCGTCTGACTTTGCTCTCAGTCTTTCTCTCATCTCTTTCTCTCTCTGAGCGCGACGTCATAGTCGGCGACGGCAAACGCGAGCTTGGATCGCTGTCGCCGACTATGACTCGTCTGACCCCAGCTCGCCTCGCCTAGCTTAGAACGCGTTAACCCTTTAACTTGCCGTGATCCCTAAACTAATTAGAATTACACATACAGACAATCGACATACTAGGCTCATTTATAGTGGTAACATGATGAGTGAAAATTTTGTATTTGTAGAAGTACAGGCAATTTAAACGAAGACCGACAAACTTCTTCTACTTTATGAAGTTGTGTCATTTGGTTTTTATTTGAGCAAGATTTTGAATTTCGTTTTGCATTCCAGAAGTCGTTTGCACCTCGCGATGCACATGTGATGCTTACCGTCAACATGACTCTCCTGCATTTTCTCTGCTGGGCTATTTCGGCTCAAAGTGATGTTTCAACTTTCTGCTGCCTTTCGGACTTTGTACAGTTACCCAACACTGCATTTAGTAAGTCTCAGATTGTCCGGCTAATAGCACCTACACTAGATTGTAGGGAAAGTTCTTGCGTTCAGGACGCCTGAGGTTACGAATTACGTATCTCGGATCAACTCACATTTTTCGTTCAAAGTGAAAACGATTATATGTA